CCGCTCATCTACCGCCTGTACGAGATTGTGCAAAACTACGGGTACGCCTACAAAGCTGTCATGAACGAGAAGTTTGGCGACGGCATCATGAGTGCGATTTGCTTCAACACAAAAGTCGAAAAGGAGATTGATGAGGCTGGGAGCCCGTGGGTTGTCATCACTCTCAAGGGCAAATGGTACGTACAATTTGCTCGCTTCTTACACTTGATGCTCCGTGGCTAGGAACGTGAAGACTGACCTCAGTGATTAGGCTTCCCTTTACCCGGTTCTAGGGAGAGCCATGAAGTCATTGTGTACAGCGAAAGGAAGCGTCTTGTGAAATACGCAATGAGGATGGGATCAGCTTGCATCACGTCTATCGCCAGAGGCTAGTTTGGAAGCGAGGAGTTTCGGCTTGGTGGCAATGTATATATGAAAAGGTGGCAGTCATTCGATCCCCCAAGGGGGTCAATCTACAGACACACGACTGTGTTATCTCGAGCTTCGCTCGATGTAGCATACCTTCGCCCACGGTTGTTGGCCTGCTACACAACATCAGGGCTAATAAGAGACCAAGACTCGTAGTGGGGAGATAATACATGCGTTATAGCAAGTTGCGAACTTTGATTCGGTTATAGAGTATCGCCGGCCGCATGATTACTGAATTGCCCTTCTTTGATGACATGATTGAATCAAGTGTAGCTGTAGTTAGCCCCTTGGCGAGCACTCGTAATCGAAACATATCCCGTAAGGGTCAATGATCGCAGAGTATACATCAAACGATCGACACTTCAGAAAGCTGCTGGCTTTGGTAGAGTAAGTGGTAGTCAGGATGAAAGAACTTGTTCAGTTTCGGCTGCCCAAGGAATGAAAGTCAAGTGTTTCCTACTCAAAGAACTTGTGCGGGTACAAATATTCAAGATCGTCTTTCTCTCATACTCCCCCGTTCGTCCCCCTGTTCGCCCTTTGTCTCCAACACCGTCCCTCAGTGCCTTTCCCGTCCGGAGGAGTCTCACACAACCTACCTTGATTGCGCTGCAACGCATGCTTTGTTGGTCCCCTGCACTTGGCTCATCCGTCTGTCCGAATATATTGCCAAGCCCCGGGCCCCTCCTGCATGACGTGAAATGTTGCTGTCCCAGGCACACGAAAGGTGCTGCAGGACTCGAAGAGTACAGCCTGGTAATCTGGCAAATAAGGCGAAGTTTCCCTGGTCGCCGTTGCGGTGAAGTGGATGAAGGCTAGCCTCCGTTTGTTTGTAATGCCGTGACGTTGACAACAATGAACTTTCATGGGTGTTGCCGGTTTCCCAGTCAAAGAGCCCAAGTTCTTGCAATAGTTGTTCGACTCTCGTGCTTGACTTGAAGTCAGCAGTTACGTCTCGGACAAGTCATCTGCTCGTCGTCGTGTAAGTTGGGCGCTGTGTAGAAACATTGCAAATGCAGCACACTATTCAACGCGGCCACTGTGGAGTTGAACAGCACTGTTGCCAAGGACGAGAGGAATCGCTGATATAAAATGCAATTGAGATACCCCGAGACTATGATGCGGTTTGCCCATCGCTGCAATGCAAACCAAGGCCTACCTCGATCGTCCTCTACCAAAGAAACAGACCCAGACATACTATTTTACGCTGTCGATACCAAGTCAAGACAGAACCTCACTTCAGCACCAAGCGCCAAAGCAGCTGTGATGGAAACCCCTACCAACACTTGCAAGATCGATGTCGAACCCAGTTCTGGCACCAATGGCAGCGACCAAATTCCCTCGACTACGCAACGAAGATGGAGGCCATAGAGCTAGGCCCGTCTGGCAACGATGGAGTGGCTTTGAACAAACGAGTCATAAAATTAGATAGACCGCATCGAGAGCGCCCCGTTATGTATATCCCGAGCTACATCCCTCTGTCTTCACCATACCACAACCCAATCTTCGTTCTTGACTGCCCACATACGACTTCAATACAAAACACTTAAGCCTGGTTTCCCGTCAGAACCGCCGTATACATGTCCAGTAGTTTCTGTTGGCCCAGAAGCATGGTCTTTCTAACAATTTCGGGCAACAAGGTGTCTGGCAATACTTTCTATGGCCATGCGTGAATCATGTAGAGGATCATGGTCGCAAAGCCCATATGGCGTAAGTACAAAGAATTTGATCCTGCATTAATAGAATCCATATGTCCGGGCATTTCCTAGACAGTGCTCCTTTCTTCAGTTAGTAGCCTTTCCCTGTCGAAGCTGCGCCTAGTGTCTAAAAGCAAGTGGGGAGTTTGTGTTCCAGATCGAGGCTGTCGATAATGAGATCCGTTCTTCTTGGAAGCGAGCACAACTACAAAAATCCAACCCTCTGTCTGCCGACGACATAAAGGTAATTGCTTCACCGAGCCTGGGATAGACGTATGAAGTAAAAAATGAATACATACAACACCAGGTATTCGCTGGTCGTCACCGACCCAACTACTAATCCGGCCCTCATTGGCTTATCTATGGGAGAGCGGACGGGATCCCGAGTTTTCCAATGGGTATGGTCGTATGTGTTAGGTTAGTGATACAGTTCATCTTATAGACCGCAAGCTATGTGGCACACTTCCTTTTTAGAACGTCGGAGCGTCCGAGTACTCGAATTTACTGTTTCATTTGAACAGAGAATGATGTCTATATTTTAATGATATGTGCAGATGTTTGTATTCAAAAAATTGAGTTGGAGACAGACTTGTGAAGGACCTCTTCATCTGTATCTTGCTTCGTTGTGAATCACTACAGTGAGAACGATCTTGCGACGATGTTGATGATAAGTAAAAGATGGTTGACCAATGGCTGCTTACCAAGCCAGGGGCCAACCCCACCATGGGGAGCCAACCCCACCATGATTCTTGACCGCCTCGGCTGAGTGGGTCCCTGGAGCGGCAGAATTATTTTCAATCGACATTTTTTCTGAGGACCCTCCCCACGTTACCGCAACCCGACCGCAAGGAGTGTTGACCCAGCATACTTTTGCGACCAACCCAATATCAGTGCACTTCAGATATCGTCTGCAGCCATGGTTACCAAATCCAAACTCAAGCTTGCGCTAGCGGCCGAGAAGGGCATCGACCTGCGCAAGGTCAAGGAAGAGCGCAAGATCAAGGCGAAGCACCGCGAAGCCGCCAAGGAGCAAGAGAAGAAGAACAAGAAGAACAAGGGTGTCGAAGAGGATGACGAAGACGACGAGATGGAAGACGAGGAGGAAGGAGACGATGCCTCTGTCATCTCCATTGAGGGTGGCATCACCTTGAACGCAGACTTTGAGGATGCCGACTCGGAAGAAGAGGAGGACGAGGAGGAGGACGACGAAGAAGAGGATGACAAGGTTCGTGCTCCTTGCACATCGCGAAAACTCCGGGACCCCTAGAATGGTTGCTGACAGGAATTCTCTAGCTCGACATCGAAGCATTGGACGACACAGACAGTGACAGCGACTCCGATATCGAGATGGAAGCAAAGATCGAGCGTCCATCCAAGAAGGCCAAGACAGCTACCAAGACGCCCACAGCAATCGAGGAGAAGGATGGCGAAACAGATGACGAGGAGGACTCAGAGGTTGACCCCGAAGAGGACGACGTTCCCATGTCGGATCTCGAAGGCGACGACGAGGATCTCGAGGACATTATCCCCCACACCAAGCTCACAATTAACAACAAGGCTGCCCTCCTGGCCTCCCTGAACCGCATTCGCATCGACACATCCTCCACAGCCTCCTTCACATCGCACATGACCGTTGCTTCATCCAAACCAACCGCCGAGGCCGTCCCCGATGCCCAGGACGACCTCCAGCGCGAGCTCGCCCTGCTCTCGCAGTCCCTCGAGGCCGCGCGCAAGGGCCGCGCGCTCCTGATCAAGGAGGGCACCCCATTCTCCCGCCCCAAGGACTACTTTGCGGAGATGGTCAAGGACGACGGACAGATGGATAAGGTCAAGGCCAAGCTCATCGAGGAGGCCAGCTCCAAGAAGGCTGCCGCCGAGGCTAGAAAGCTCAGAGACCTCAAGAAGTTTGGCAAGCAGGTGCAGGTCGCCAAGTTGCAGGAGCGCCAAAAGGCCAAGAAGGATACACTCGAAAAAATCAAGACGCTCAAGAGGAGTAAGTTACACCCCCCTCCCTAAAGCTGCTAGCTGCGTGCTTCAGTACTTGTTTCAGTCCGAACCAGTCACTAACTATCCCCAACCCAGAACGTCAAGAAAACTCTTCCAACCTCGACACGCGCGAGGCCGACCTCTTCGACGTCGGTGTCGACAACGAGATCAAGAGCCACACCAACTCGGACGGCAAGCGCGGCGGTCGCGACGGCGGCCGATCCGGCAGCGGCGTCAACGCCAAGCGGTCCAAGAAGAACGAAAAGTACGGCTTCGGCGGTAAGAAGCGCCACGCAAAGTCGGGCGATGCCGTAAGCTCCGGCGACCTGAGCGGGTTCAACGCCAAGCGCATGAAGGGCGGCGTCGGCAAGAAGCCCCAGCAGCGGCCGGGCAAGAACAGGAGAAAGGCCATGAATAAGTAATGGAGAAAAAAAAAGGAGATTGTTGTTTTCTGTAGCGTAAAAAGTCAGGGGTTGGAGGGGGGAATGGAAGGAGGAGAGTCTGTAAACAAAAAACTAGAACGGAGGAGCGAATACCCCTCGGGTTCGATGGTAATCTACAAACGAAATGATTCAACTGCTTTTTAGTGACCTTTGTTATTGAATGTAAGCATCATTTGTCATTTCCTTGCCTCCTCGTATTGTGTCCCAAAAAGCCTTGAATCCTTCACTGACCCACTGGTCAGCACATATTGTGGCAGAGATGTCCCAAAAAGTTCAAATTAGCTTCGTCCCAATTCCATGCGGACGGTACGCGATAAACTTTCTAGCAAGCGCGCCAAACAAGCTGAGAGTTCAGCCCTGACGGCTTTGAATCAACTTCTCGTCGCAAGAGGCGTGGCATTGTACGTCATCACCTTCCGTTGGCAGGTTTGTGCACAACAACGATACGGACAGTGGATTCTTCGAAAGACCGCATAAATTCTGACATTATAGTGGTTGATCTCTCATAACAATACGTACATCGTCCTCGCTTGCTACTCGGAATATGTACTCCTGGAGCATTGCGCAAAGCTTTCCCGTCTGCTCGTGCTATCCTATTTCAGAGGAATTGGCACAAGGACCCTGGAGGATACTATTCTGCCATCCATCTTGGGCGGCCTATGCATTCTCTCAATCCAAGTGAGCCGCCAATGTAACCGTCATCTCCATCCTTCCGCTGCGGGCTTCGCCAGCCCATCAACCCAAGACCAAGAAAATGTAAATCCGTGACATAAAGACCGTCTCCATGCTGCAATGAGAGTTCTGCGGGACACAATTTCGGTAGTTTTGAGTGTTACGTATGCCGCCTTCGACGATTTGTCGGATGCGTGTGCTACCGTCCAAATCTTCCCGAGTGGCCAACTGCTGTTCCATGTTGATCGTTGCTGGAAAACGGTCGACATTGGCAGATTGAAGCCCCTCAATCTCGGACACCGTGGTGAAGGTATAGATACAGTCGAGGGAATAGTGCCTTGCCGAGGACTTGGGCAGTCCTTTTTGTGGAGGCCAGGTGAGGCTGAGGAAAAACTGAGGATATATCGTCCTGTAATAAAGGGGAGCCATGCCGTCGCCATGAATGGCAAGCACCCAATGCCGAACCTGAATATGCTGCTGAAAGACCAGTGGTATCGAGGGAAACGCCATGCATTTGGAAAAAACGCTGTGCTGTGCAATGCTGTGCCACCTGCGGGCGGCAAGGAATCCGTATTATAAACATCGCGCCTCCGAAGGCGCTTTCCGGGGTATAGTCGAACGTTGGGGAGCACTAAGTGGCATGGATCACTGCGTCGCGGCCACACACCAGTGGCGATGGAAAGCCCATGCACTCTTTTGACACTCCTTGCTGCAGTACTTGGTGCGGCGGCAGCGGCGACACTTGGCGAATTGGCGGGTAAACTCTTCCCACTTGCCGCACTGGTAGTACGCACACTGACGGATGCCTCCGCGGGTATCGTCCTTGCGGCACAGGTTTCTCATGACGACGCCAGCCCAGTATTGCATATCTGTGCTGTGATGTCGGACTGTGAACTTCTCGACCAGGGGGAAAATGTTGAAATCGTTGGGCAACAAAAACTCCTCGTCCAGCTCCTCCTCTTCAATCTGCTCTTTGGGAGCGTCCTCGCCGTCCAAGTAGCGGAGTTCCTTTCCAATCTTGAGCCTAGGGACCAAATGGCTCTTTTGGAAATACGACCGCAAGCCACAGTACTTGGAAACGTATGCAAGCAACTGAAGGGACATCAAGACGTCTTCTTCACGCGGCATGGCGGCAAGCATCTGGGCGTTGGGTACAAATTGTCGGTCAAGGAGATACCGGGGAACGCTTGCGTTGGGAATGGCCGGCTGAGGAGGCGTAACCATGGTGGGACGGTTCGGTGACAAACCGATGGCAGGCACAGGGGCTGGCGTCGTAGCAGCTGTGTTGCTAGTCTCCACAGGGCCACGGTGTGTGATGTTGAAGGCTCCAGTATCCTGAGTTTCTGACACAGTCGGGGTGTTCAGGTCCATTGTGGTAGAACCAGCCAGGATGCTGTCTCCCTCTTCCATGGTGATATCTTGGATATTTACGGCAGACTGAATCTCAGTGCCAGTGCCCGACATTTCAGCATCCGGGGACTCATCGGATGGCGCGTCATCTCCAACCAAGTCATCCGAGTCGACAGTGGAGTTCTGGTGACGGATGGAAGGACGGCGACGGGAGCGATTTGTTGGTGCAAGTCCCGAAGTAGGCCGGACGGTGGGAGAGCGCATCTGCGGAGGCGGCAGAGGAGTTGTGGGGGAAGAAGGCTGCGAGACCAAATTTGCGTTGCCAAAAGTCATCATCGACGCAAGGCGATCAGCATCGCGTACAGGCCTGACAAAGCCCTCCATGGTTTCAGTGGCAGGTACGGCGGGTGCCAACGGCTGAACGACCTGTCGAGAAGGAGATGCAACGGCATGGCGAGCCTCGGCGGCACGATAATGATGGTGGTGATGATGATGATGGTGACGGTGCGCAGGGAACGCAGGTCGCTCGGCGGAGGACGCCAGCGGATACTGGGGTGGAGTGGGTGTGGACTCGGTGTTTTGTTGATCGACTGCGGAGCTCGAGGACGAGGAGCCTGCGTAGGTAGCAGAAACGTCAATGGAAGGAGGAGGGGCCTGGCGTCTGGAGGCTCTCTGATCAACTTCTGTTCGGGTGGATCTGTTGGTGAAGGACGGAGCCTTGTGTACACTGCGGTGTTCGTGGCTCCTGTGACGGTGATGATGGTCCTTGCTCTTATCGTCCGACTTGTCTCTGCACTTCTCAGTGACTTTAATGTAGTTATCGAGAATGGTAGCAATGACGGGGACCATGTCGGCCTCGACAACCCTGGTGCGGACGTTTTCAGTGCCCCTGACACCAATGTTGACGACGCACTGGAAGGCCAAGTTCCACTTCCACATATCCATCATGTCCTTGCTCCGACCGCGTTTTAGAATGCATACCAAGCGCTCGATGCCGCCGTCGACGGTAAGAATATCGCGGATGCGAGCCGAGGATGTGGTGAGGTAGGCGAGATGGTTGAGAGAGTTGATGAGAGGAAGGGTAGACGTGCAGTCGAGAGCTCGTCTGTCATAGAGGGCGGTCGTTATGCCGACCGACGCCTTGTTGACGTTTGGGATACTGAAATTGACTTCTCTCATCTTGAATGACGGGTAAGACGACGAGATGGATTCAAGGGTTATTCAAGTCGAATGGGGCCAGGCAGTGCAGCCGTGGGAAGGTGCTAATGTGACAAATCCCTTCCAGCTTGGGTGGCCCCTTTGACAGGTTTGAAAGAAGGAGTATGTTGATTCGTGCTCGCTCGACAGGTCGATGGGCAGATGATGGATCTCGAGGTGTGCCGAGTGAAGAGCAAAATGAGGAGAAAGAAATCGAGGTTTGGGGTTGGGGTCGCTCGAGGGTGGCGATATTGTTGTGTGGGTGTGTATGAGAATTGGGTTGGATTGGACCGGATCGTGCGTGAGCGGACTCGTCTCGATTCGATGGTATCGGTAGTAGTCTCGTACGGTGCGAGGGTCGGAGGTACGATGGGAAGCGTTGCAAGGCTTATTGTTTTTTCTTGGTCGCGGTCTTTCCGAAGGCAATCGTTTGGTTTAATGGAACCAAAGGAGGCAGGAGGGTATGGTAGCAGCTTGTTGTAGGAAGGAGAGTCGCAGGAGTAAGGAAGAGGATGCGATGTAGCGGCGAAAAGACGGTGGAGGGTAAAGGGTGATGGATTGGTTTGGTTGTGTTTCAGGACCGACACCCGGAAGCGTGACTCGGATGTGCTGTGAAATGGCAGTGGCAGCGTCAGCCAAAGCCAAAAGGAGCAGGAACTAAAAGCCTAGGCCGAGAGACAAGACGGATGCACGCAAAGTGGAAGCGAGGTCTGGCATGCAGCGATAGCAGCGAGACAATGCGTGCGATGACGCTTGACGCTTGACGCTCAACGCGAGAAGGTGAGGATGAAGAGCGGGACAAGCGACGACGAGGGGAGGCTGGGAAGAACAAGAGTAGGAGTAAGGGAAAAAAAAAGAGGAGGAGAGGAAGAAGGGGCAGAGAGAAGAGGAGAAGCAGACGATGAGGATGGATGCATCAGGTCCGCACGTACGCGAGATTTGTGCAGTGTTGGCCCAGTCCAGCCCGGTCAGGCAGCCCAGCCCAGCGCCAGCCAGCAGGGCCCAACATGACTGGGACGCACCTCATCACACAGCTGGGCCTCTAACAACAGCACCTCAGCCAGCGACGCCCTTGGACGATGGGAAGTAACACAGGGCGCTTCCCCGTCTCACACATGGACAATAAGCACAGTCCCGGTAATAGCGGAGCTCACAGCAACATAATACCTAAGATTCTAAGGTGTATTCAGGAGGCAGGCAGATAGATGGCAGGACCTCCTACTACCTAGGTACGTATTGATTTGGCAAAACAAATTAGTCGGGAGCTTGGAATACTTACCTGCTAACGCACCATATACCTTACCCTACCGGCCTCGATGCGACTCCTTGCTTGATCGTCGAATGTACAGCGAAGCTGGTAGACGGGGCTGGGCAAAGACGCAACAGCACACCCGATTGCACTGAGCTTGAGGTCCTTGGGGCGATATGTCAAGTGAGGTACCTTAGGCACGGTACCTTGGTTCCATGATTGGCGGTAGAATGGGTAGCAAATGTGGTGATGGCGCCCACGGACAGGAAGTGGGCAGGCAGAGGGCAGGGAATCATCAATGGGATCGCTAAGGTAGGTACGGTAGATAAGTTAAGGTACCTAGTAAGGGAAGGTGCGGTGAGGTGTCCGCGGTAGAGAACCTCAGCCTTCTATGCCTGTAGTCAAGTCATGGGTGTCCCGATTTCCCAAGGGCAAACGCGGCGAGATTTAACAGCAACCTCCTTACCTAACCTTGCGTGAACATGGCCAACAGCGAACCGATTATGTCCTTCCGTTCCCGGACACCCTTCTACTTTATTCCTCTAAACTGTACGGATACTCCTCGTCGCGGCATGGTATCATGCAGCTTATATAAGCGCAATTGATGTTGCGATGCTCCCTCGGCCGGACAGAGTCCGACCGGGTCAATATTCTGATGCGACTGCCAGCTCTCCGAGCTCCCATGGACGGATTGTTTGGAACATCGTGAGGCTAAATCACCATACGCCGTTGATAGGGGAGCGACACCGGACAGTCAAATGACAACTTGCCGCATGGATATTTACAACCATCCGGCCAAGCCCTTTCCCGAGCTCGAATTCAATATCACAGGGATGCAAATCCAACTTGATTTGCCAAACTCAGTCATACTTTTTCGAACTGCATCATCTCTCGCAATGAACCGAGTCCGTCGAGTCTCTTGAGCCTCGAAGTTTCCTACGTACAGACCCAAACACCAAGGGTTGGTTCCGCATCAGCCAGGCAAAGTCGAGACAGCACATCAGGTACCGGTCACGCCGCGCCGTTGTACCTACCTTCTTACACCCGCCACTCGGCCGCATTCGGCCTTGCTTGTACTTGGGGGAAGAGAGACCCTGACAAATCGCATGTCCATCTCCTGAGCATCGAAGGTCATGGTCTCCGCAGGTACATAGTTCCGTACCTTTGCTCTGTCAGGCAAGCTCACAAGGTAGGTATCCCAGGTACCTCTAGGTGCGGCTAGCTCCCGCTCACTCCAACACCACCACCGATCCCTTCACCGTCTTTTGACACTCTCTTTTCCATGAGCCCGGAACACGCCTCCTCTTTCAGCCTCCAGGAACCTCAGCATCTTCTTTGTTCCTCGAAACGACTCTAATATTCCCCTGCTCATTCTTTTGTCCCTCGCCAGGCCCTCACAAGGTACGGAGCACTCTGCATTTACTACTGTAGTCGTACAGTAGACAGTAGCAGTGGCCGTTTTCTAGCGCTGTTCCCTGCCGCCTCCCGTTTCTTGAGCCGTCGGCTCGGGTCAATACTGCCGGGGCGAGCGACCTGAGTGCTCACAGTCACGGTCTTGTTAGGTACTTGTTCGGACATTTCGTGGGGCCTTGCTATTTTCAAGGCGGCAGGCATCAACCTGCACGTCAGTCTTTCTCCACCAAGGTGTTTGGTTGAACGTTGATAGCGACGCAGTTCTGCCACATTGCGTAGCTTTCCAAGCAGTCTGTGCCGGCTGTGATTGCATTGTACGCACATTATCTGCATTGAGAGGGTTGACAGAGGAAAGATCAAGACATGAACACGCCAACCCTTTTCAAAACACCATCGTCGTGTGGAACGTGGAACGTGGAACATTGATGGAAGGAAAGGAAAGAAAAGAAGAAAAAGCAAAGGCAGCCAAGTGGTCTACCCGTTGGCGATGCGAGATTGGGAGCTGAGAAAGCTGCCATCTATGGGCCTAGTGCATGAACGACCGTGTATTGCATGTGTCGTGAGCTCTCGGCTGCTGCTAGACAGGATACCCTGACAAGCCTGAGCAAGACAAAGAGCTGGGGAGAGTTTATCGAGTCTGTGTGACGACAGGAGAGTAGGAGAGGTGGCAGATGCGACGACCGTTCGCACTACTTGTTGCTGGTCCGGTTTGATGTTGGCAGCTTACACCATCCTTATCTCTGATTGCTTGGACTGATCGAGCACTGCGCTCTCCTAAGGTACGTTTATCTCACCTTTTGGTAGTCTGTCTCGCCGTTCACAGGTGCTCGGTAATTGTTGCTGAATCTTCATGATGCCTCCCTCACCTTGGGATTGGGTTATATCTCGGGGTGCTCGTTTCATGGACAGCAAAGAGTCATCATTTTCATTCCTGCGCCCATGATTCGTACCTCGGTACTTTTCCAAATGTCACTGGTGTTGCTGTGGCATTGGCAGCGTAAGTCTCACATCAGGTCCGCAGGGACATTTCACAGGCATGTACTCCGTACCTTCAGCGACAGATAGGTACAACTGACACTGGTGAACTGGAAGGGAATGTGCCCCACCACTGTCTTCAGCAATCGTCAGCGAACGGCACTTGTCCCAGATCCAACACACAAATTGGTGCGAGATTGCATTCCTCGGAGCGTCGTTTTCGTAAAGGCTGAAGCCCGAGTGTGCCCTGGGTTCGGAAGCGGTGAGGTCATGGTCTATTAGAGAAGAGATCGCAGCGCCAGGGCACAGATGCAGCCATGAGATGAGTGCCATGTGTCAATTTCAATATCAACATCAAATTTTAGTTTTGCAGGCACGGGGCAGGCGTGGCGGGCAGGGCAGGCAGGGCAGGCACCGAAGAGGAGGGAACGCCTTCCCGTTTACCTCCCGCCCGATGAGAACAGAGGGACGGACGGCAGGGAGGGCGGGGTCTTCGCCGCCCTCCATGTATTCATTCGTACAGGGAAGACTCCAGGAAGGAGCCCGCCGCTCGCTGGATCTGTTCTCCGCCCCTCTCTAAATGAATTCGAACCTGCCTGTAGGCACAGTATTTGTACATCAAGTACCAGTTCTCAGGGACCACACAGGGCAGCCGCTGATGTCTACTCCTTCCTGCACCGACTGGAAATTTTCTGCAAAATTCTGAATCAGAATGTCTTGGATAACATCGGGAGTACCTTGGGCAAAGAATCATCAACTACGGATACTCCGTGCGGATACCACCTGATTGCTTACCTTACCTTACATCCCAACTTCTCGAGGTAGTACCTCAGGTACAAGGCCCCCAGCATCGAGTTTTATGCTCCTGATCCTTCCGACCCGTCGGGACCCTCAGTGATTTTCTCCACCTCAGCCGTCTTGGACTCTTAGTCACAGCACACCACGTCCGCCGCCCTCCCTCCCTTCCGTGCCCTTGGCGGAATATGTCCGGAGAACCATCCGTACGAGCTGGACTGCGCCGGGGATACCGACTTGCAGCATCCATTGTCCAATGCCATCGCAATGCAACTGACCGGGCACATAATAACAATACCATTCATAGGTTACGAAGCACTGGTACGAGCAATGGCATTAGTATCAAAACAAACCCCACTCACAAACACCAACCTCCATCGCTGTCTTCGCCTCTGTGCAGCAACTAACACTTGTTCCTTTATAGACAACCTCTGCAGAAACTCATAGCGCACCTTGTTAAGTAACTGATAGACATTCCGATGGAGTACATGCCTGACCGCACCCGGCAGACTCAGAGACGCATACCGATGGCGAGCCGTTAGACGCCTTGCTGCCGACTTTGGCGTGGCCTGCTGCATGCAGGATCCTTCTTTTTTATCCTTCCGCCTCTGTCCGCCCGCTTGCCCGTTTGCCACGAGCTTCGGTACGGCGTCGGCGGCTGACCAGTCCACTGGGACGCTACAAAATCAGAAACACCAACTCTTTGGCTGACCAGAACTTGCGCTCAACAAGGACCCTGTTCTGATCGATTGGCCGAGATATGCGCCAGCCATTCGGAGATGCAATGCCATGCGATGCGAATGGCGCACAAGCTTCTTTTACAACATGGAGTTTCAATGGCATTGTGGGACACAATAAGGTAGCCCTGGCCATGAATCGGGGGCTGGGACTCTGGTGATTGGCCGTGCGCGCGCCATTTCCCTTGCCGCCTCTGCCATCTCAATTCACCACAGCGCTTAATTATTTCAACACGAGATGCAAGCCCGTTCCCTTCTTGCCTTCCCACTTGTCGGCCCTCCACCTTGGCAGTGGGCCTAGATCGGGTCTCGGTGCCTCCACCACTGCCAAGACTCCATTTACACTTCTCCAAATTTCTCAGGCGTCAGAATCCCCACTTTCTTAACGACAGATGCTGCTCTTTTCCCTTGCTCTTTCCTTCTCTCGGCTAAGAGTCTCCTGCGTTCTGGTCCGAGGAACGGAAGGGGGGTCGGTGCAAAAATAAAGGGAGGCAAGAAAGGTTGCTGCCGTGACCGCGGACGCTGACGGCTCACGGACTCCTCAAGGTTCACCATCCAGGTGCTTCGTGATGCGTCTGGCGCTCGGCTTACTCGATGGAAACACCTTTTGGGTTAGCCAGCGGGCACTTGGAAGACCTCGATCTTCTTTTCTACGACGTGCCGGTGCCAGTGGAGAGCCAGCGCATCAGATCACTACAATGTGTGGTTGGTCGGTCGGTCCACACCCAGCGCAGCAAAGCACCAGGACCATCCAGCTCCAGTCGAAAATGTCTCGCCTTCTGCCGATCCAACTTGGCCCTCGAGCAGTTGCTGCGGGCAAAGGGGGCTCGCAGCTCGCTGGCTTCCATCCATGGGGCTTTGCTTCTGCGTCGCCAACGTCGTTGTGTTTCAGATGACATGTCTCAGGGTGGACTCACCACCGCTGCTGTTGGTTCTTCCCTTGGCCAGTGAGGCATCTGTTCACTCGAGTTGAAGGGACTCAGGGAGGTCTCGTGAGCTGAGCGAGATACCACCTTGGCAACTCGGCCAACTCTGTCAGACTTTGCACACGTGAGCTGCCAACCAGAACCGACCTATTAGAAAGAAGGTCAAGCAAGAGTCGTGAGCTACCCCGACGGGACTGTGCGCCGTGTAGCGTACCAATGTCTGCATACTTGCCTACTTTCCCGAAAGCCAGCCAACCACACAAACCCCCACCACCGAGATCGTGCAAGATGCGGTCAGTGGGACCCTTGTTCTCTGCCTGGGAGGCTGGCAAGATGGGCCGCTGCCCGCTGGCAAGCCGCAAGCCCATTCTCGGTTCGTGATTACGCGCAGACAGTGGAACCCTGCCCTCCATCCACTCGCCTCGATCTCGCTTCTAGTGTACGGATAGCCTGTCCACACGTGTTGGCGATGTAGTATCAACGTACCCACTTGTCTGACCGTACACTATCAACGTACGCGCACTTTATCCGTATATCTTACGAACAGTGATCCGTAAGTAGCGTGTGATCGTGACTAGTATTAAATGACTTACTGACAGGTTGTAAATTCCGGTCCGAGTACCCCTATACTCGAAGAAGGCCAAGAGAATGGCGGAGTTGGTCCAAGGTTGTCACTGTGGCTTTCAAAGCTCAAGATGATTTAAATTGTATGCTTCTTTTCCTAGCTATGGTTTTAAGAGTTGTAGGAAACATACACCTTATATGTGAGGGCTGGTTTTCGCTGTTACTTTGGCCATATGCCATATACGCATGGATCTTGCTGAAGAATAACCCATGAAAATCTCAGGATTAGAAATCCTGAGAGCCTAGCAAAACTCTTCCCGCTTGCTAATTCGCTTTTAACTTTTCGAGTCCCTGCCGCCTGTATCATGAATGAGAAAACGCCTTGCCGCAAATTTCAACCCAACGCCATTCGTCTGCCTTTGTCGACCTGCGTAATAGACCATAAGGGTCGACGGCGAAAAGAATTCAGGGACAGGATGGACAATACCTAATTCAAGACCAGCCCAGTCTTTACTCCCCGCTGATCTTAGCATGGCGAAAGTACTTCATTCCCATCCAGGCCACGGAGACCCAAACCCAAGCCATGATACTGGTTAATATAATGAGGGCCGGATAATAACCCGTGATGGGCAGCGTCGGATCGTCCTCAAGCTCTGGGGGCGCGTACGGGGTCGTACCGACATCCCACGCCCAACTCCATACCCCAAAGACTGAGCCCATGCCCATAACAAACACCAGCCCCGTCACGATCAAGACGACCCAGCCCCACCATTCTGTATCCGAATAGTCGATTTCTGTGTCGTTCGGAGGTAACGGAGTGGTCGATAAGCCGCTGTACGAGAGCGGCGACTTGGCCTGCAGTATGGACTGCTGCCTAGGCCGGGTTCCAAAGTAAGATTCGGAGCCCGACGAGAGCGACGAGTCGGGCTGCAGGTGTGACGGCATGTGGTTCGGTATATGTAAAACGTCGTCTTCGTCCGTTGTAGAAGTGTACGAGATCGTAGGGCTAGTGATGGTGGACTCGGCCTCGTTTGTTTGCCGAGCATTCGACAGAGAAGATACTGGAGATTCTACCAGACTCGACCTGCTCGCATATCCTTCCATAGATGGCCGCGGTGTCAGGTCCGCGATATTCAGTCCGAGAGGATCGTGCTCGATAGTTGTCGCGTGCGATCGAGACGCGGCGCCCTCCATATCGCGGGAGACAGTGTGTGACGTGTCGATAGTGAGCTGTTTCGCCTCTTTGCGCTCCCGTTGCGCACCTCTTCCCAATAGGGCCACCTTCCTAAGGGAGCCCTTCCTTCGTCGAGACTTTTGCTGCTGCTGCTGCTGCTGCTGCTGCTGGATGACGGTCGACATGGATGTCGGTGGGGAGCGCGAAGTGTCGTCCTCGGCTTCTTGGTGACGCTGCTGCTGCTTCCCATCGGAATGGGAGCGCATGAAAGGGAGTTTGGAGAGGAAGTTTGCGCCGGAGGAGGTGCGTCGGTGGGGGATCGTTGACGGCGGCTGTTGCTGCTGGCATTGATGCTCCGAGAGTGAGACCGACTTTGGTGATACAGCTCCTACCGTCGATGGGTCGTTGAGCGCAAACGTGCGACACTCGGCGCCATTGTCGGCGCCAGCCGCAGTATGATCCATTGCGTTTGGTAAGGTATTTCGAACTGCGATAATCCCTTATCGTTCCGTCGGAAGAGTGGACCAAAACCGATAGGGATGGGGTGGGGGAGAGTCTCACGTCAAAGCTTGGGGACTGTGTACGAGTCGGGGCCGCGACATTGACGCCCACTCTACCGGCAATTTGAAGCAGGGGGTGGATGAAAAGGAGGGAAGATTCAGCTTAGGGAAGCTGGTGGTCTTTCTGGATCTGATTGAAACTCTGATAATGCCATGTAGAGCTCAGGTTGGCAATTGGGGTTGACGCGGGTCGAAGATTGAGAGGGCTAACTGCAAAGAGGTAAAAGATGTAGGACCCTGCATTGTGACGTGGGTCGCAAAGTCAATGCCGCTACCGCTGCGGACTCGGGACTTAGCAATACCAGGCGATTCGGCGAAACGGTGCCTATAAAGGTAGGTACTTAGGCGCAAATGTAATTACCATGCGGATAGAAGTAGCAGGAGGCTAAGTGGCTTAAGGTAGGTACCGGAGTAAAGAGGAAAGTGGGCGGTCGCGTTCCCCTGACATGTGCCTTTCCTTTAAGCCAGTTATCTGAATAGGAGCATATTCTCCCCTGAACAGATGCATTTAAGCCATCTCAGTTTGTGGGGGAAGGTGGTGGAGTGAACCTGGAAACAGATCTCTGTCGTCCCTTCTTTAGCTGGCCCTTTTTTACCCTTTTACAGGGCTAGCAGTGACACCAATTGGAATTCTAACCTTCCCGACCTGGCGATTCATTCTGTTGATGATTGCACATCACGCACGTCTCGTCCCATCTCTTCCTAGTGTATCTTTTGCCTCGCCTACCCATTTCTGCGACCTCTAGCCCCCCCCCGGAGCAACGCACAATGCATGCCGACGACTGTCGGACACCACTGCAATTGACCCTGTCGCTGTCGCTGTCGGTCCTTGTCCCTTCTTCTCGGCGAGGGACGTCGCTGGGAAGAAAATAGTTCCATGGCTTCCAGCCCTGCAGCAGGCCAATCCTCCGCCCTTCTGCGACCTGCCACCCCACCGATCCCCCAAAGCGGTAACGGCAGAAGTGATAACGCCTCGTCAACCCATGTCGCCTATGGTCCTCCGCAACTCGCCTTTCCATCTATAAACATCAACGACGAAGCCTCCGAAGTAGACGAGGAAGTGGATGAGGACGGTCTTCACCCTAGCATCTCCTGCTCCCCCGGCGTAGCATCGACGCCCATAGGCAGCCCTGGACTTCTCGCGCCCGCCAACCTGAAACCTGGGTTGCTTCGTCCAGACTTCCCAACACCAACAGACATGGCCGAAGACGACCCTCCCTCTGCTGGGGGCTCGATCGTCCCGAGCCCCTTCAACTTTCAGACGCAGGTCATCTCGACCTCGCCTGTCAAGTCGGTATGTTCAGATACACATCATCGCAATCATGCTGCACGCCCCTTCCACCTCCTCAACGAGCCAATTGATCGCTAACATTGGCGCCTCGCAGAACATTGGCCAGCGTCGCGGCCATCGATACAAGCACAGTTCCATTTCTACCCAACATCAAATCTTTCAGGAGCCTCCCCAGCGACCGCCGCCTGTTTTACCAGCCTCCCTCCCTGTGCCCACCGTTCGAGAAGCATGGAAGAGTATGTCAAAGGACCAGCGCGTCCGGCTCTACTGGAGCTTGTGCCACTTGGCAGTCGCGACTTGGCTCTTTTTCATTTCCGAGGGCTCCGTTGCCATGATGGCACTTTCCCACCTAGTCTTCTTCGACGCCGGCAGCGCGGCGGTATGCGTAGCTGTCGATGTTCTAGGCAACTTCGAGGTTTGGCGTCGTAGCAGTATCCGTCATCCCTTCGGTCTCGAGAGAGCCGAGGTTCTCGCCGGCTTCGCCATGTCCATATTCCTACTCTTTGGCGGCTTCGATCTTGTGTCGCACAACCTCAAGCACTGGCTAGAGACCAAAGGTGGACACGAGCCGCACCACGAACATGCTCACGAGCGTGTCTCGGCTGGAGAAGTGGACTGGGCTGCGTTCGCGGCCATCACAAGCACTGTCATTTCAGCGTACGGTCTGAAGAACCACGCACGTATTGCTAGAATCATGCGTGTGTCGTGGCTTGCCAAGCTACCTACCCACTTCTCTAACATCTTCCACTTTTTGACGGTCTTCTTCTCGAGTCTACTGCTCTTGTTGCCCCTTCTGTCCATCAAGAGCTATATTTGGGTCGACCGTACGCTCTGCGCCGCCATTGCCGCCTCTATGTTCCTGTTTGGCGCCAAGTTGGCCATGGCTCAGGCTATGATGTTGCTCATGTCATACGGCGGCATGGGTGGCAACGAAGGTGTGTCTTCAGTAGTACGGGAGATTGAGGCAGAACCAGGTGTGGCTCGCATCGAGGACGCGCAATTTTGGCAGGTGCACTACGGATTATGTATGGCCAATCTCAAGATCTGTGTCGCCAAAGGTTGTGACGAGGGAGCCATCAGCAAGCTACGCAGCCGCATATCTACTCTGATCCAGAATCGGCTCGGGGAAGGATACGGACGCGGTACAAGCTTACGGTGGGAGGTGACTTTGCAGACTAGTGTTGAAGCGACCCTTTGATCAAGCGAGGATAGATAGCGATTTGTCTAGTCAGGCCGATGAGCAGACAAAGTTGTTGTACGATTAAGAAATGCGAAACCAAAAGTCTCGTAAAGGATTGTCTTGTTTACTTGATATTAGCACCAAAATGCTGATGATGAACATATGAAGAGCGAGAAAAGTCTATTCTTTCAGGAGACCGGAGTCGAGGAGGGTATCCTTCATGTTATATACCACTTTACACAAAATACCGTAGAGAAGAAACTTGCAAGCAGACTAAGGCCTGCCCTACACCGCTGAGGCGACGAGGAAAGGCGAGGCCGACAGTACACCATTGATCTTTCAGACACCCAAACTCCTTTTGCACCCAGGTCATAATGCGTTACAGGTTCAATATAAGAAGGGCCGGTTGAGAAAGTCGCTAGACGATAGCTTCCTCCCAATCAAAACAGCCCCCAGCGTCCACGCTGCTTGTCGTCCTTGTTGGGCCTGTTATTGCTCCCCTTCATCCGCTCTCTCTCGCGGCCCTCGAGCTGCCTCAGACTCTCCATCTTCTCAAGGACTAACTCGAGTAGATCCTTGCGGCGGATGACTTCCAGGTGCCTCTTGATCTTGGGGTCTTCCTTGGCGAACCTCTCGATATCTTCTTCCGAGAGGTGCCTTCCGAGCCGGAGGTCTAGTTCTCTGGGGAAATTGTAGTAGAATTCCGATAGGAGTTCCACATTGAGGAACAAAACAGCCGTAGACGCGAGCTTGGTGGCTGCCGCATCAAGGAAAACCTCTGGGCAGTAGTACTTGTTCTTGAGGCTGGTGCATTGCTTCGACTTGACAGCCATCAGACGCATCTTGATGATATCGGCGCGATCCCTGAGGAAAACAGCCTCACGTCCTAGAATCTATTAGTGACCAGCAACACATGGGCAGCCAGACCGGACTTACCTCTTTTGAGCAGCGACGCGCTGAAGCCTCCGGCACCGCTGCGGCTTTCCCCTTCGACGACAACATCTCCCTTGCGTGCTCGATCGACAAAGTTCATCACTTCTCTCAGCTTTCGTCGACCGCCTACAACATCTTCAATGCTCTTCAGCGCGCCCTCGCAGTCCTGAAGCTCCTTCTTCAGAACAACGGCCGAATGATCCCGGCCCTGGATCCATTCTCTCTCGTCAATATCAATCTCGAACTTGTAAGGCTTGATGCAGTTCTCAACTTGATCGCTCGTGCTGTAAAACCGCTCGTTCAGAATTGTGGACGCGGCTTCGTTAATGGCCTCTCGTGCAAAAGGATGGCTGCTGAAAGTGGAGTGCTTGATGAGACTGTCAATGTGAGCCTGAATAGCAGACGCAACAACGGTTGTGGCCAATCTTCCAACACCAAGTTTTGTCAATGAAGAAGTCGACGCGTCGAGCTGGCGATGCCAGTACAAAGAGTTGGGGTCAGCTTTGGGGAGATCAGCCAAGCTGTCCAGCTCTGGCATCGCAGGGGACAAGTCCTGGATAGGCTTGTTCCAGTACCGGGCGGCCAGAAGGTCAAGAACCTTCTGGTCCAGCTCCTGCTTCAGCAACTGGTGCATTTGCGGGCGTCCAAACTCCTCGGTAAATTGCTTAAAGGAGTGTTTGAAGCCATCTAGACTTTCTGCCAAGTATGATTCGGCAGATAGCGGGCGGTCATTGTATTGCACCTTGAACTCATAGGTTGCTTCTTCAAGCTCCTGTCTGATGGCGTCGCTAGTAGTGGCCAGGCTGGCAGACATCGTTTGTTCGAGGACGGTCATGAGCTTTTTACGTAGGTTAATCGTCCCAACGTTGACACCAGCACCCTCGCCAAACTCCAGCGGGTGGGCGGAGAAGAAAGTGTTCTCGTTCTTTGCGATGGCCGACATCACGCTACCCGATCTCTTGAAGAGACCAGTTGTTTGAGGAACTTTGGAGACAACACCCACGTAGCCAAGCCTCAGGGGATACTGCTTGTCGCTCAGGATGGCGGCACCGCGAGGAGCGTCGACCAAATCCATCTTGGTAACCACGCCGATAGTCCTCTCGCCTCTGGGATCCACACGGCGGCTTGCACGCAGTGCGGTCGAGTTTGCGAGGTCCACATCTGCGGCGGAGATGGCCAGAATGACGTTAGGAGGCTGGATGTACTTGTCGCATAGCTCTGATATCTTCTGCTTTAATTCCAGAGGCTGACCTTGGCCAACCACCTGGATGTATCCGGGTAGATCGATCAGAGACAGATCCGGTACATTTGGCGAGTAAATGGTAAGATGAATGGGATCATCCGATACGCACTGAGTATCCGGAACGGCTAGGTTAAGCTCAGTCAAGGTCCTTTGGATCGAGGAAAAGTCGGTGATGCGTCGCAGACCCAGGTCGGGGAATTCGCCATATTCTGCGTCCGACTCAGGCGTATTGACGAGGGTCAGCTCTATGGGTCGGCGAGTAACCATATTGCTTCCCTTGGGCAGGAATTCGTGACCAACGAGGGCTTCTAAGACGGAGCTCTTTCCTGAGGACTGCGAACCGATGACAACAATTGAGGGGAGCGTCAGAGTGCTTGATTGTCCAACTTGCTGGAGCATGCTCCGAATCTCGATCATCTTCTTGGTGAGGATCATCATCTGGTCGTCATTGGCCACCTCATCGGGTTCTCGCGGGTCGTCTTCTGAAGATTGATCGTAGCCGTACGCAGCAGCCGAGCCTCCTGCAACAACAGCCGCCCCGGCTCTGCTCTGCTTGGGTTGCTCCCCTCCAGGTCCTCCTGAGCCGCCGCCACCAGTGCCAATGTCTTCATGGATACGCAACACCTTTTGAAGCCATTCGGGGGTTTCGATTTGTTCCTTTGTGTTTTCCCAACCGCGCATCGTTTGATCCATAATTCCTTTGGCACCTCCAAAGAGACTAGACGTCGTTTCCGAAATACCATCTGCTGTTTTGCTGACCATATCCCAGGCGTTGGTGGTGAGCTCTATTAGTGACTTGGTCAGCAGGGGCAACTTGTCTTGACGCGAAGAGAAACCCAGTACGTACGGTTAGCTTGATACTGAATCCAGGCGAGTGTTCCAACAGCTAGGCCACCGAACATGGCGGGGATTCTAGCAAACTTGATAACCAACTTCGGTAGGAAGCGGGCAAAAGACGCATTCCGCACGACGACGGCATTGTGGAAGGCATTGCCAGGAAACCACATGCGCCGTTGCGTAGCACGCACAGCAGCATCTGCTCGCTGAAGCCCGCCTGCGGGAAACCGGTGAAAGTGTCGAACGGCCTGGACTGGAGCGCGTCGCGTCAATGGCGAAAGCCCTGCGGCCAGGAGACGTCCGCTCATGCTGCCGGCGAAGCACGGGACGCGTGTAGTTTGAGACGGTGGTGTGTTCTTCGCATGCGAGACGGAAATTCGAGTGGGAAAGCCAGAGGTTCGAGTGTCCGAGATGGAGGAGCGGTGTGGTTGTGGTGGTGATAGTTGGTGTGGGTTTCGCCAAAGCTTCCGGCCTGACAAGAGACTTGAATATCAGAAATCCGTTGACATGCTACGAATCGGGGACGAATGAGGAGCGGCGTGAATGGAAATCAAGCGGGTTCTCGCGGGTTGCATGAAGAGCCCATTTCACTAAGGCACCTACCTAGTGGGGACGGCCTGGCATTGACGTACCGTCCATCTTCCCCAAAAGAGCACCTAGGCACCTCCCTGCTGGCTCCTTACCAGTAGTACCTGACTGTGTACCTAAGGTAGGTACCTAGGAACCATCACAACCACACATTACCTACTTTAAGCCGCAGCATGGCTTTCTCTTATCGCTCATCGCATAAAGCCTTATCGCCATGGTCATACCTAAATGCCCGGATAAGGCACCTAGGTAGGTAGAAGACACAGCTCCAATGTGTCTCCGATGGCGCTGGATCTCCAGTTGCACCTGGGTGGGCAAGAAATTATTTGAAAATACCTTAGCCATCCATGTTCAAGCAGCTGACCAGCTTTGCCCATACCGCCCCTGATCAAATGACTCACTGTTCTCCGTACATCTTGCCTCATTCATCCCCATCTGAACCCTGAGAATTCACCAAGGCGCTCGGAAAAGCAACCGGAGTCCCAAACGAAGGCGCAATCGCTGGGAGTCATTCATTTAGATTAACAGCAATACCCACCACTGTATACAACGCCCAGCTCTTGCCTTGTGTTTTCAACCGGCACGGGCCTCAGCTCAACTTCCCCCACCCACCCACGTACCTGACTTATTCGGTACTCCGTGCTCTGGCATTCAGCTGGTAGCTACCTCATCCCTATCAACTTGCGCCACCGCCCTGGGGTTTCTGATCGCGCCATAGCTCATCAAACGAATAAATCTGGCCAGACACTTCCTCCGACGTCTCCTATCCGTGAATTCGTATTTGACGTCTGGTCACATCCTCTAGGTTCCTGTTGCTGTTGTTAAAGAACAGTCAAGGCCCCATCGAAGACAAAGTCACATTGCTCACGCGACAGCTGCTACTATTTCTTCCCCCGACGCCTTGCTCATCTTCTCGGCTCCGTCTGAGTTGTCCGACACAACTCGCCCAACATGTGCCGCTTCCTGGTAAGTTCGGTGTCATTGAGCGCCGACAGGACACCCGCTGACTGATTCTAGGTGTATCGGGGAAGCGACGAGATTCTTCTCTCCAAACTCATTCTTGACCCTACGCATTCCATCCTGAAGCAATCGTTTGACTCCAGGCTCAGACTGGTACGTCACTCTGGCGCATAGAGTCTAGGTACCGTACTAATATCTGGCGGCGGCCAAACAGGATACGCGAAGAGGCCAGAACAACGCAGATGGCTTCGGAATCGGTTTCTACACAGATCCCAAGCTTGGTCACGCGCCTTGCCTCTTTACCTCGACAATCCCTGCCTGGAATTGCACCAATCTTCAACGCATCGCCTCCAAGACCGCTTCCCAACTCATCTTCGCTCATGTACGAGCAACGACGGAGGGATCCCTCAGTGAGGATAACTGCCACCCATTCTGCCACGGTAGCTTGATGTGGATGCACAACGGTGGTCTTGGGGGTTGGAAGTATATCAAGAGAAGGCTGGGTTCGAGATTGGCCGACAAGTGGTACCTTGGGATCCAAGGCGGTACAGACAGTGAATGGGCGTTTGCGCTGTTCCTCGATACTCTCGAAAGGATGGGCATCGACCCGGATTCACAGCCCGCCCACGGTTTCGGGCCTACGGTATTAAGGAAGGCTATGCTAAAGACCATCGCCACAATCAACGAATTGATCGATGACATCCCGGAGAGCACGATCCAGTCGGAAAACATCGACACTCGAAGCTTGCTCAACTTTGCTGTCACAGACGGCAAAAGCGTTATTTGCACTCGATACATCAGCAGCGCGACAGACGAAGCCGCGAGTCTCTACTACTCTTCAGGCACTGAATGGGGCACGAGGACATCGGCAGCAACCGACCGCGACTACCAAATGGAACGCCAAGATAAAGGCGCAGATATCGTACTTGTCGCAAGTGAGCCGCTGACGTTTGAGAGAGGTACGTGTTGAGAGTTTTGTGATGCGGTGTTTGGGCTATTGCTAATTGGAACAGAGAATTGGGTCAACGTTCCCACAAACTCGATCCTGACAATTCACAACCAGACTGTCATGGTTCATCCGATTATTGACAAATACTACGATCGAAGCCCGTACCACGCCAGATCAAGCGCTTTTGTTCAGACGAAGGGGCTCATGGCGAACGAGAAGATTTCGGCACTACTCAGCCCGGCAGCGACGTCGTTGCCAGCTCCTGATGCAGCAAAAAAGAGTCTTGGGCCGACTATTCCTTTCAGCGTTTCTCGCGGCCACACCCCCGAGCCTACCAATGTTGGCAAATCCCGGCCACATAGCCAACTTCACGAGGTATCAACACCGGCAGACTCCAGGTCTATCATGACCTTCTCAAGCGCGCAAACCAGCACATCAAAGCCTCCGGTTCAGGGAAACATCAAGGTGAAACGGGCGGCGCTAGAGCAGGCTGCTCCCAGTACCGATGGCGATACAGACTCGCTGCTACCCGTGGAGGACCAGGCGCAGAGTAGGACAGAATTTGGTCATCCTAATAAGTTGTCGAGATTCTTCCCCGAGTTGACCATGACCTAGCCAGAGGGAGTCATGTGTGCCTTGAGGAAAGGACATCAATCAAACCATTCAACCAAATACTCGCCTCGACACAGCCCAGCCACCGTGACATGTGAACGGATCCGGCTGGCCGGCAAAGCAACCACAAAAACAAGCCAACTCATCAACTAGAGAAGAGACGACGCAAAAGCTCAGCTCCCCACAAGGGGGGCTTACGAAGATTCCTGGACACTCTTATCAGCATCGGGTATTGCGATACAAGGATTTATCACGAGACTCGAACTCGTGCCTAATGGGAGCTGAACGTGTTAGCTCACGACTCCCAGGAAGAGCTACAACGCGTGCCTTGTAACCGTGTTCACTGTATTAGTACTGCTTATGATTGCAAATGGGTAGGGTGTATTGGAGTTTTTTTCTGCATTTATCACCTAGGTCGCTATCTAGAAGGAAGAAATCTATTAAGCAACCAAAATATCTATAGCTCCGGACTTTGACAGGCTGTGAAATCATACCACCTCATGTTGCTCGCTTTTCGACTGAACAGCTACAAAGTATTCAGCCTTCTGGGGCTTGCAGCTCAGGTTGCCGAACGTGAGGTCCGATTTAACGCACCATGCATTTCGCCTATCAATTTGCTAGGGATCGAACGGGGCACGAGTAGTTTCGCTCCACACGGATTGGACTACCCCAGAGACTCGGACACTTGGACTAGTCCCTAAATCGCAGCCAAGCACGCAATCTCGTGGGTCATCGATGTTGGATGAATACTATGCCTATATGGCTCGAGCAGCTACGCCAAGTGTCATTTGGTAATACAGATGGATACACTATGTAAAGATCTTGCGCTCTTTGAATCTCGGAACATCATGCTCGGAGTGACAATGCTGATGCTTCAGTTTGGAGACTCCATATATGCAGGCAGAGAGCTTCATGCTCTGAATTGGAATGGTAGTGTCTATTGGCGGACGGATGTGCTGTCGGGCGACTTTGTGTCGGAATTGACCCTATCCGCTGGGCTAGATCATTAAGACAGCAATCGAATATCAAGTGCCTGCAAATGGAAGATCAGTGCTTGACGAAACGGCCGTCTCTTATCTCCCCTGATGAAATCGCCAATAGAGATGTTACTTAGGTAGCTTCCATGGCTGCGGGAATAAGCCGCTAGGGATCTTATCCTGAAATTGATAAAGCCACCACCACTCTCCCTCCGCCCTGCACAAGTGACTTGAACTACATGTTCTGATATGACCACCTCATCTCTGTTCGCTTGCATAGCTCAGAGGAGCAATTTCTAATCAAACCGTATTGAGACACTCAAAAATGGCCTCGCCGAGATGCTTCTTCCTAGACCTACCTTGCGAAATTCGTCTCGACATCTACGCCCTTCTCCTTCTCATCCACCCTCCCCTAGATAGAGTCGGCCCGTCTTCGCCACAAGCACGGCTCCATCCCGCAATTCTTTCCACAAACCGGCAAATCCATAGAGAGGGGACGCCCATTCTCTACGGCAGCAATGTATTCCTCGCGCACACCAAACTTCTCGCCTCCTTTCCGCGTCTACGGCCGTGGTACTCGCCCGTCCGGGAGCGCTCCGTGCTCCCGCGCATCCGCCGCTTCCACATCCGGCTGCGGCTAGACTGCGACCTGGCATTTGATGCCGCGGCCGCGACGGCAGCCTTCAACGGCGTGGATGAGCTCATCATCGAGGTGTGGCAGGCCGCCTTCCAGAGTGCGGACCATGGTGCGCTGCGGGTGTTTGAGGGGGTTCGGGCCGTCAAGACTGTCAGGGTCTATGGGAGCATCACAGGGTTTGAGGACTATGTGGGCTGGCTCGAGGGTGTGATGCGCCGCGGCGGTGAACTCGAGGGCAGCAAAGACCTTAGTCTTGTCGGGACGAGGCCATCTCAAAGTCAAATCCCGTGAGTTTCATTGCATGCTTTTGGGGGCTTGTAGTATCTCAGCTGCCAATGCTAGGAGTTCAGATTTCTCGACACTCCTGTCCAGTCCAAGGCATTGTGCAACCAACAGACTCCCATGTATCAGGAAGCTTCGGTCGCACGAGATTGAGTCTTTCCATAGGACCTGGAGTTGCCGGCTCATACAGCATCTATACGGTTCGAGCTTTCCTAACCAGCACGCAGCAAACATCCCCCGGACCTCATTACTGTGGCGGTCGGGCAGACGTCAATGGCGACATCTCACCCCGCGGTGACAACACTGGACTCCGCTCCGCGCTCGCACCTGCTCCTCCACGGGTGACGGGTCCCCTGACATCCAGCAGTAGTGGATCACAGGGACGATGATTAGAATGGATGAGGGCTCTTGGCTCCGCCTATCATAGCAACCTTGTTACCGGCCTCCTGGTCACTTGGGCCGCACCCCGCCGCCCAGAGTGATTTCCGTTGGGCCCTTTTTACGGTGCTGGTGGGGCCGCTGACCTCGGGATCGCTGGCCTGTCGGTACCTGCGCCGAAATAGCGCAGCAAAGACGCTAACCCCCATACGGTCGGTCTCATGTCGCAATCCTGTGCACCAGGCGAACAGCTCATTTGCAACTTTCTTGCGACCTTCCCCTCCAGTCGCAGCGCACAAAACTCCCTCCTACAGCATACGAACCCAACGACTGGAGGTTTGCTGACTGCATACCTCGACGAAAGGTGCCGGTGAGAAGGGAACGAAAGAAAGCTCAAAGAACAGGGTTCGGGCATCTCACTAAGTTCAGCAAATTCCGCTCAACCTCGCTTTCGATAGCTATAGTCAAAATGGCGTTCGAGTTTCTCCCCTTCCTATCCGCTGTCTTTGGCTGGATTTACTTTCTCTGCTGGTCCGGCTCCTTCTACCCGCAGCCTCTCCTCAACTTCCACAGGAAAACCACGGCCGGTACAACGGTCGACTTTCCCTTGATCAACTGCCTAGGTAAGAAGAACCCAGAACACCACGTAGGACACAGGAGACACTCTTCAAGTGCAGCGTTGACACTCCGACTCGCAGGCTTCCTCGCCTACTTTGTCTCCAACGCCGCCTTCTACTACTCCCCCGTCGTCCGTGCCCAGTACGCCGCGCGCAACCACGGCCTCACCCCGACAGTCGCCTTCAACGACATCACCTTCGCCGCCCACGCCCTACTCCTCTCCTGCATAACCACCTCGCAGTACGTGCCCAAGCTCTGGGGCTTCACCCCCGCGCCGGGCACGAACCCTAGCCGCTTCATCTCGGGCATCGCCTCGGGCTGCATCGTGGGCGTCGCCGTTGTCGGCCTCATCGTCGCGTCCGCCCCGGGTGACGGCGACCCCGTCACGAGCTGGTGCGCCCTTGACGTTGTCTACGCCGTGTCCTACGTCAAGCTCGTCATCACCCTCATCAAGTACACCCCACAGGTCATTACAAACTACCGCAACAAGTCCACAAAGGGCTGGTCCATCTGGCAGATCCTGCTCGACTTCTCCGGCGGCCTCCTCTCTGTTGCGCAGCAGGCAATCGACTCCTACCTGCAACGCGACTGGTCCGGCATCACCGGTAACCCTGTCAAGTTCGCGCTGGGCAACGTTTCCATGGTGTACGACTTGGTCTTCATGACCCAGCACTACGTCCTGTATCGCGGCTCTGACGGCAAGGCTGACGAGAGAGATTCGCTCCTCCGTGCGGACGATGAGGAGCATCAAAGACTAGACTAGAGTAGAGGAGACTCGTCACATATGGACACATATGGCTTGGAATATACTTGAAATTTTATCCAGTACACTAGGAAAAAAACGGAAGCCTTGTAGGTCATCTAGCTCAATGCTTTGCTGGCTTTGCTCAGACGCTCAAGCTTGGCAGGTTGGCATTCTGACCACTTCTCAAGACATCTCAGTGTGAACAGAGGCCGTCTGAAGAACTTCTAGATAGTCTAAGCTGGAACTCTAGCAGATCTAAGAATTCTACCACTACGGTCTGTACCTTACACATTGTATCCATGACATGCGACCCTCTCAGAGTCGAGACGCAACGACACCAACTCACGTTACAGCAACACCAAGGAGAAACTTCTTTCAGAAGGAAAAAAAAAAAGGCTTCTACAAGACACAAAATGAACAAAACTGAAAAAAGTATAAAATTGAGGAATTGCAACGAATCCCTTTGTATGCCTGCCCTTGAACGCCGTCGAGGGGATATGCAAATCTCTCAACCTTCATCTCTCTGCCGTGATCGAAGAGAAGCATCCCTCTCACATAGCTTCTTCTTGAATGACTCGCTTTGAGAAAAAGGGTGTCGTCATCGCTGTCTTTGATTCATTCTTCTAGAACTTTTGTATTCCCCAGCCGTATATGCGATTTCTTCCCATTTGTGACTCTGGGTTCTTTGTTTCTCATCCAGACAAGCATCGAGGCTCTCTCTGGCTATTCCAATCCGTTCCAAGTGCTCATGAAGAGGTGTTTCCGTTCGTCTGCATGAAGGCAGGAAGCTTCTTCCAACTCTCCTGGCTAGGGACCTTGACCTTTCCAAAGTCTTCATCAATGTCCAAGATGATTTTGAGGGCGTTGCGGCTGCGGGCAAAGGGGCTAGTGTCGAGCTTTTCCTTCAGGGTAGAGATGGCATCGCCAACACCGGTGTGGACCTTTGAGCTCTCAGGCTTGCCAGGATAGGGGATGACGTTCTGCAGAACCTCGTAAGCGGCGAGAGTGAAACCGAACTGCGGGGAAGAACGGAAGATTCTGGCAGGGCCGCCCTTGAAGAAGGCGCGGAAGCCCTCCTCCTTCCAGATAGTCTTGGCAGCATGACGGAGACCAGTGTAGGTGGCCTCGCCCTTGCGAGCCTCGACCTGAAGACGAGTCTTGATGACGTCGCAGGGGGTGGTGAGGTAGGCAGCGGGCATACCAGCAATGGCACCAGCGGTAAGCAGCTGAACAACTCCCAGCTTCTTAGTCGGAGACTCGCCAAAGAGATCCTTCTTCAAGTGGCTGTAAGTAGGGAAGTAGATGGCCGAGAAGGGAACATCACGCAACAAGCACGCGGAGGCACCCTTGTAGAGACCAACGAGACCCAAGTTGCGCACAATCCACATAGCCGACCTCTTGGGGGCACCCTCGACAGTCTTGGCGACCTCGCCCTGGACCTGGAGACGAATCTTGACAATCTCGAGGGGGTTTGTGAAGACCTTTGAAAAACAATGTTAGCTTCTGTCACTTGCTTCCAGGTTACACTATACTGTAGTGAAGGAGAAAGTGAACTTACAACTTGGCATGCACCAGCAGTACCACCAGCAAGAATTTCATGGCCAGTCCAGATCTTGCCCTCCTTGTTGGTAAAGTATGTACGCACAAGGTCGTTCACCGTCAGCTTAATGGCCTTCTCTGGCGCAACACCAATGAGCTGGGGCACAACACCCGAGTAGAGGCCTCGGGGTCCCTCGTTCCTCCACACCTTCTGGAAGCAATCGATCGAGTTCTTATACAATCTTTCTCCCGGTCTGGCGCTTCTTTGGTTCTGGAGACGGGTCTTGACAAGGTCAATGGGGTAGACCATGAACGCTCCGAAGGCACCTGCCAAACTACCAAGACCAAAGTTGTATGCGGATTCGAGGATCGATGCGAGAACGGCCTTGGAAGCTCCGGCGCTCTTGGCAAGAACTTGCGAAGCAGCATCGTCGGCCTCGTAGGCAGCGTTTCTCCACGATGGGTCGAGGACCTTGGCAAAGTCGCCGAGGCCAAGGCGACCAGAGGGCTCGTCAAGGCTGGCGAAGTGGAAGAGAATGTCGGCTTCCATGGGGGTGAAGAGGGAAAAGCGAGTGATCTTGGCAGCTTGGTTGAGGAATTCCGTTCTTGTGATCTTGCCGTCAGAACTCTTGGCGCAAGCACGGCGCACAATGAGCTCAACCAGATCAATCTCCTTAATCATGTTCTGGAAGGCGCGAACGTTGGCGTAGGAAACCTTGCTTCCAAGCGAGATGTTGCAAAGAGTCGACAGGTTCTCGAGAAGGTGGTCAGAGAGCTTGTGCTTGGAAGTCTCGCGAATGATGCGCTCAAAGTCCTCGGGGTCAATGAATCCATCACCATCCTTATCGAACAGCTGGAAAGCCTGGCGGATGCGCTCGCCCTGCAGACCACGCAGCATCTGGGAGAATTGAGGGTAGTCCATGTGGTGGCGCTTCTTCTTGCTGCCAATATACAACTTGGCCCATTCGCACTCCCAGTCAAAAGGAATGCTGTCGGGGCCCTTGTTGAGCTCATAGAGCTTTCTGAAGTCCTCGTACTTGACATTGCCGGTTCTATCGACGTCGAAGAGGCGGAAGGCGATCTCGTACTCGGCGTCGGGCTTGATCAGGAGGTTCTCAAAGGCGGCCCACTCGGAGAGGGTAATCTTGCCGGAACCCTTACGGTCGGCGATGCCGAACAGAATTCCGTACTGTTCGCGCTTGATTTTGTGCTGTGGCATTGAATTTAGAGTCAGTAAAATGGATCGAGTGGTCGGTTCATCGGAGGGATATCGGAGCTGGGTTGTGCTCCCGCAGCAGCGACAAATTGGAAGAGCAGAATGAGGTGAGAGTGGAAAACCGGACTTACGAAGTCTTCATCCTCGGGCGCAACGGCCTTGGTGAACTCATCGGGGCCCATGTAGAGCTCTCCTGACACCTCATCCTTGACAGCATTGGCAACGAATCTCGCCTTTGTCTGCGCAGACAGCTGGACGGGCTCCTCGGCGCCAAGGAGGCTCTCCTTGACAGCCTCCTTAACGGCAGCTGCTTTGCTCATCTTGGGCGGCTTCTGCAATTGAGCTTGTGTGGAGGGTGAAAGGTTTGTTGGAGTGCAAGCGCACAGGAGAAATGGTTCGAGAGCTGTCGCTTCCTGGGCCCTGTGTAGGAGAAGAGGAGAAGGTACGCTCGGTGAGGTGAGGTGACTGTGGCCCTCGAGTGGGTTGTGGGTTGAGTGGACCTGGATGCTCTTGCCGCTTGCGCGACGGAGTCTGGTGGCAGGTGCGGACGCGATGAGATTGGCCTTTAGCCGACGTGGGCCTAGCTGGAGATGGGGAAGGAGCCGTTTGGCACTTGGTGCTTTCCTCTCCAGTATTGGTCCTTGCTGGTCCTACGGTATTATGCCCTGAATATTACAAGGGGGACAGATGGGAGTGGGCAGAGCAGACAAGGAGCAGAAGAAGGGGGAAGGAGCAAAGGGTAAAAGGCCAGGCCGGCAGAAGGGGGTATAATCTGGGGAAGTTCGTCACACACACGAAGCAGGAAAAGGCTTTCTTGCTGCAGCCGGGAACTAGTGACAATAGGCACTTTTTCTTTTTTGGGTGTTGCACGCGGCAAGAGGTAGCATGCAGGAAACTTGGAATGGTTTGTAGGTCTTAGGTTGGGAGAGATGGAACTTGACTTTGGGCCCTATGTACGGATACGGATACCTTGAACAACCTGGGTAGAGGCACCATGGGTTCCTCATGACGAAGTCAGATGGATCGCATCAGGTCAGAGACATACTGCAGAAGACAAGAGGTATCATAGACAAGGCCAGGAACAGCGGGAGAACCTGAGTCAATTCCAAGGTTGGTGCCCGTTTTTCGGAATCGCCAGCCATCTGGCGTAAATTTTTTTTTCTTCCTTGCACGCGAGAGTCAGGAACAGGCGCCGGATCATTGTTGACCCCTTCTAAAACCCCTGCAGATTGGTCCGATAAGAAATCCGATAAGACATCAGCAGGGTTTATCGCCGATTGTATCCCGGGAGTGGGTACCTTAGGTAAGGTAGGAGGAGCCTTGGCTGGTGAAGGAGAGCGCCATCGAACATACAAATGCCACATGCACATGCAGACACTGGACCAGCCGGGACGCACATGTGCACCATTTGCGCTGCACCGTCCGCGTGCTTGCTTAAGCTCGCTCTCGGGGTTCTGACCGCCTCGGCCACGCCTGTCGTAGCTGCCGCCGTCCCGAGTCTGCGCTCTCTGCAGAGCTGTAGCCTCGAACTCTGTCCAATCTTTTCTTTTCCTCTTCGCTACCTTCTTCTACTTACTACGTACTCTACTGGCCTATACTCCGTACTCGAGATCAGCAATAGCAGGTGCCTAAGTCGATTACTTTGAAAAGTACCTATTGTCTTTCTCATGAACCTTCACTAAGGTAACACAGCGAAGTACGTTGGAAGCTGTTCTACGTAACCTCTACGCGAGATACCTATGCAGTGATACGTAGAGACAGCTGCGGTGAAGTGCGGTTTGCGCAAATGACCACGATTGGACCATCTGATCGCTTCAAAAGGGTTTAATCTGCCTTTCACTCCCACATGAAATCGGACGCGACCGGGACATTTGACACAAGTGACGGGGACCAGGATACGAGAGCCAACGAGCCCGTTCCTCCGATTGCCATCGATTCGTGCGCATAAACCTCGGACAAGTGGATCCCGGACCCGCTCCGAACTTGCCGACAGCCAAACAGAGGTCCAAGAAGTTGCTGAATCTTGAAATCAACCGCGATGGGACGTGCGTTTACTGAACACACAGTCATTGAAGTGACTGATGAAAGGTGGACCATTGGGGTAAGACTTACCTATTCAATCCTTTTAGGCACAGTCGCGTTTTTTTTTTTTTTTCCCTCCTGCCGCGGTCCTCTTGATGCATGGCAATTCTCCGTCTATTGGCATAGCGCGGACCGCGGTAGGTCTATGCGCCTCCAATCCCCCATCCTTCATCCCCAAAGACTCCAACAAAACGTGGGGGGGCGAGGGGGGCTTTGGGGGAAATCCCCTTAGCCTTGGTAAGATCTGAAGGCTATGTATAGACAGTACGGTTATGTAGGTAATATGGCCTAGGCCCAGAGAAGGACCCTTTACAGGGAGGTTCCGCGGAAGCCCAATGCCGAAGGCTCGGAGCAGTTCAATTCATCAACTTCCCGTTCTCCGAGCCGCTCAAATCTGCTGCCGCAGTTTCACTTCGATACACGCGCACCAACGGAGTAATATGTAAGGCAGATAGATGCCTAAGCTCTTTCCTTTCGGGCTGTAAGCCGACGTCAGTCCTCCATGGAAGAGACCTCGAGTCGAGGCCTTTTGCTGCGTAATAGTGAATCAAGCCTGGAGCTCCCCTGGACACCGGCTCCCTTCGCCCTATCTGCACTCCAGCCCTGCCTTACTCGTTCAAGTTCCGAGGCTCCTCATTCTTGCCAACGACCCATTGTCGCTTCACAAATGGACCTGTGCTGTTCCAAACGGCCGAGCGGCCCCGATGAACCCCACGCAGTCACCAAACCCCACGCCATCCCCAGCTTGCCCGCTGATGCGCACGCCGTCTCCGTCCTGCAAATACGTCCTGTCCTGACCAGTGGACGTCTTCCAACCGACCTTGCCGCCCTTGGTCATCTCTAGCAGACACCCGTGCTCGTCATCGCCGGCTCCCGACACCGTCCCCGTCGCCAGAATATCGCCAGTGTTGAGATTACATCCATTGATTGTTTGCTGGGCCACGAGGTCGCGGAACGTCCAGTACATCCAGCTGAGCTGCGCCTTACACACCGTCGTAGCCCCGTCGCCAGTTACTACTTCGGCCTTCAAGGCGATGTTGTAACTCGATTTTTCCTTGTTGTCCAACAAGTATGGCTGCGAGGGTATATCCTTCGGAGGAGGTTGTGTTGCAAAAGGTTCGAGTGCTTCGAGTGTGATCACTTCAACGAAGTTAGCAAGCATTCTTTACGTTTGAGACAGAGTAAAGTCTGACTTACCCCACGGACTGACGGACGTTCCGAATGACTTGCCATTCATCGGTCCCAGCGGACTCATCTCAAATCCTTGGATATCGCGAGCTGTCTTCCATTAGCATCGCAAGAATGTCTTGCAAGGAAAGTCGGGACTCACCACTCCAGTCGTTCAGCAGAACGAGACCAAATATGTGCTCGTCGGCATCCGTCACAGCTACGCGGTCTCCAAGCTGCGTCGGCTTCCCAATAATGCAAGCCACCTCCAGCTCGTAATCGAGCGCTCTGGAGGGACCGAAACCAATACTGTTTCCGTCACGATATTGCCCGTACGGCCGCGTGATATTCGTCCCCGAAAGTACAATCGAAGAAGGCCGACCACTGTAGCCGATAGGGAGGTATGGTGCTGCGGGTGGCATGGAGGCCTTGCCCACGACTGCCTCTGACGCATTCAAAAGATGTTCTTTGGAGCACGAGAAATCGGTGAAGCCGTCTACTTTGATTGGCAAGTGTAGCTGAACCTCAGCGATCGGTACGCCGTGTTCAGACAGAGTCGATTCGTCGGAAAGGGTTTGTTGAATGTTCTTTCGGAGGATCCCGAGCTCGGTCTTCCCTACTGCCGCCAGGGCATTAAGGGTCGGCTTTGAGGCTGTTAGTGTTCACAAGTGACTAAGAGGGACAAATGGCCAGACCTGAGACAAAGCGGACTTGATATCCGCGGGATTTGTGAGATCAAGGTCAGAGAGGAAGACGACCAAGTCCCCCACTCTCGTGACTACGCCTTTTGCATGGTTCGCGTCACTGGCGATTCCGTACGGAATGTTGGCAAGGGAGAAATGCTCGGAGAATCTCATGCTGGCAGGGAGATTGGTATCAATGATTGGCTTTATGAGGTTTTATTTGGCTATAGAGAGGTTCTGATTGTATCGCAGCAGGCTGCATTCCTTTTACACGTGCGCGATGAAGCTCTTGGAGCTCAAATGTCTCTTTGCTAAGGTAGTTACCACCAGCCTCGGCGCCCCCGCTCTCCCCCACCCCCACCGGCCCCGGATTTTAACTCCGGCCCACCAAAGGTACGTAGGAGGCTCGGCTAAGCGACTCGGAGCCCAAATCAACTTGCAAGCTCGGCACAGCTGATGATAGAGAGTGAGACACACCGGTACTACAACTCAGCACCTGGCTTCAATTTTCTCTACTTCTGAGGAATTACGGGTAGAGTGACATAGTTCTCAAGGCCTTGGCCGAAATGAATGTTGTTCAATCCTGAAAATTTGGATGCAGGCCTGAATAGAGGAGTCGTTAGTCTAAAGACCTCTGAGAAAGAATTGGGCAAATGTGAACTTACCGGTCAACTTCTGAGCAGTGCTGGAAAATTCCGCTGCCCTGGGTGTCGCCGCTGCTAACCTCGAAGACGATCTTACCGCCCTTGTCGACAACGACATTTGTCGGCCAGACCTCGACGTCTACGCCGTAGACCTCTCCAGCCTTGACTGGCAGGACGTCTGTGGAAAGGTACTCTCTATGCGGCAACCAGGACTTGTGCCTGGGGCTCTCGTCGTGCACCTTGCGATTGCTTACACGCAGCCAGCCCTTGACGAGCGGCACAGGGTCGCCAGCTGTCCCGGTGTAAAAGACTTCCTGGCCCGATGGGTCGATGTGGCGCAGGGTCACGAAGAGGTCGATATCGGTTTCGTTTCCCGAGTTGTCGGGCGTCACCGAGACGTTGAGATGGGCCGTGACGTGGCCTGTGATCTCCGTCTCTTGCTCAAAGGGAGCGGACGTGAAGGAAACGACTTGAGGGTTCTCCAGGGAACCCAAAGCCTTATATGAGACAGTCTTGGAATCCTGGCCGGAGCCATTTGTCGTTAGACCAAGGTCAGGCGTCAGATAGAAGTTGGTGTAATCAGTTCGCGGAATTGGCCAGGCAGCTTCCTCTCTCTTGGGATACGCCTTCTCCTTCTCAGCGTCGTTGAATCCGACGTTGCCCTTTCGCAGAGTAAGCGTCACGGGAGGCACCTTGCCAGGCGTGCTCCAACCGACTTTATCTTCACCCTTCAAGAATGCATCGAGGAAACTCTTTTGTAGCTCCACTTCCTCGGGGTAGTAAAATGGGAGATCGTGACGGCCAGTGATGAAGCGCAAGTACTTGAGCTGGGAGCCTGCTCCGAGGTAACCCTGCACGTTGCCTCTCAGGTGAAGGAGGATGCCACCCCAGTTGGCTACGCTCAGAACAGGAACCTCAATGTCCTCGAGCTTGTATTCTTTGCTTGCGTAGTAGTCATCGTCGCGGAAGCGGTTGGCTTCGTTGTCCTTCGTCTGGTCTTGGCGGTTGGCTACCAGGACGTCTTCTGGCAGGTCGCCCTCAATGGTATCCTCCTGGCCTCTGGCCCCAGGACCATCTGGAGGGAAGTCCAGCTTGGATCTATCTTTCCTGCCATATTGATTGACCAGTACCTGGCGATTCCACCAGAAGCCGATAAACTTATTAGAGTGGATGCCGCCGTGACGGCAGCGGTCGCGGTAGTAGTCGGACATACCCTCCCAAGGAATGATAGCCGCAAGACCCTTGGGCCGCCGAGCGGCAACGCGCCATTGAGAACCTGGGAATAGTAGGTGAGTCAGTGGTCTCGGCTAATAGTATGAGAAGAGGGACAACGCACCAGCGTAATACGAGATACCCAACAGACCGACCTTGCCGTTAGACCAGGGCTGATCTGCAGCCCACTCAACCACGTCAAAGAAGCACTCGCTCGTGCCACGGCTCATGGTATCCAACAGTCCTGGGCTCTGGCCCAGTCCTCGCTCGTCGGCTCGAACTATGGCATATCCCTGGCTCGTCCAGAAGACCGGATCGGGCGTCTCCCAGGCCGAGTATTTGGATCTCTGATCTGGGGCAACCTCGCTGAACGACTTGGGGTAAAATTTGGCATAGGGGATATCTTTGCCATACGGTCCGTAGGTCACCAGCACAGGGTAACGTGCGGCCTTGTCCGAAGTGAGCGGGAGGTAGACGTTCGCGCGGATGGGGAGCGGCGAGTCCTTGAGCGGGATGGAGACGTTCTTCATAAAGGTGAGGCCATTCTCCTGGTCCTCGGTGACCTCGAGCAGGTCTTTGATGGGAGGGGTCTTGACAGACATGGTGATTGAAGCTCAATGTTTGCCTATGAGTCTCAGACTAGGGGTGATTGGCGTTCAGTCGAATGAGATGTCAAGTCTTGGAGGGGCGTTCCTTGGTTTTATTGCAATTGGGTGGGCGGGACTGGGCAGTTGAACTCTTTCACCGACGATGAGATGAATGAAGCGGATGATGCAAGATGCTTCTATGACCGGACCCCTCCTCCCACACATCAATCTACTTCGGGTGGTACTCACTCTGCCTTTACTCCTCATCGCTGCCGCCGCCGCCTCCGTGTATGGCGTTTGTTGCGCACGGGCGGAACGGTGGGGGAGGGGCTGACCCCAACGAGCGGAGCTAGCACGGTATTGTTTCTACCTCGTCTCGGTACGGACTATTCGTATTATGATCCTTTAGGTACCTTAAGGTACGGTAAGGCAAATGAGATGATACTCATCGCAAACACCAGGTTCCCTGCCCCAGGCCACCATTCAATGAAGTCAATCAAAGGAGAGATTTAGAGGTTTATGATACCTGGCAGACATAGAAAATAGATTGCTGTCATTGAATGTATTGAACACAGAGTAGATGCCATTCGCCACCACCATGCCTTTAAGGCCACACACTACTCACTCAGAATCTCACAACCAGCGCATCAAAACTCACCACCGACCTTGAACCTGAAAATATCCTTATTGACTCTTCCACCCGTCGACCTCCAGAGCCAGTTGGTAACCTGATGGACTCATGTCAGCATGCTCACCTTAACCCATTTTGCATGCGCTGCGAACGACGAGTGCGCATTCCACTCACCCCTTGGAGCCAACACCCATTCAACATGACAAACACAAAGGCCGACTCGATGCCATTTGACCCCCATGGCCTGTCTGCTATATCCATATGCGTGTTCGCCGGCCTGTATGGAGGGACCTGGCGGTGCTGGTCGTACCACCCGGGCGGGTTCACTGCTGCTGGCGATGGAGCATCCGCATTGCCTCTCGCGAAGGCTTCCTCGACGCCTCCAGTGAGACGAATCTGGTAATCGTGGAGGTAGTCTCGTTGGATCGTCGTCGTGACGGGGTTCTCAGTGACAGTTGCCGACATGATGATCTTGCTTATTGGCTTCGCGTATGTGTGTGGTGAGATGATGAACAAGCGAAATTTATCGAAGTTTAGACAACTTCAACAAGAAATGGTAGAGATGGCCTTGGAGAATTGGAGATGCCTATCTCAGAAATTCAACACGAGGAGGCAGGGCACCGCTTCAATATGCCGACCGTCGACCCGTCCCTTCCCAAGGACCCGCGCCACCCGATCAACCTTACCATGCACCTGCGGATACGCCTGCGTCGGAAGTGCGGAGAGAACCAATGAGACCTGTAGCAAGCGTCGGTTTGGGGGCTGCCGCCTACCAGACCCTAGTCAACCCGCAAGCAACGAATGTCGAGAAACGACTAGCACCCCTGGCCTCCACATTCCGCCCCTCCAACAAGCCGGGGCCTAGCTCAAACGAATGTTACGGTCCGCGGACAGATGTTTGAGCTTGCCGAGTTCATCGGATCTGCCCATGATTCCGATATGAACTTGCGTATAGCGAGCTCAGGTCATGTAGATAGCACATTATTCCATCATCGAAAACTTCAACTTTTCGTTGTAATCGAGTCGCTCTATCCTCCACCTGCCAACGAGTGCTTGTCCTCTTCCCGAACTTCTCCAAAATATCACCGCAATGAATCCTGCTGTAGAGAAGTTGCTCGTAACGCTCGTCGACGGGCGCGCCGAAGTCATTCGCTTCCGCCAGGATAACCTCATCAGCCTCCACAACGAGCTGCGCAAAGAGTCCGCGGCCCTGACTGCCGCCCAGGAGAAGGACACCGGCGCATCAAAGACAGAGATCGAGGCCGAGCACTTCCTCGCGCTGGAAGCTGTGCGACATTTTTACGAGTCTCTAAACTTCTCGAAGGAGATTGAGGCCGAGTATCTGGTTGCTCACGGCAAGGACAACACGAGCAGAAGGACCGGTGCCGGACTGGTGATCATTCGGCCGACCACTTACACCAGGCTCTTCTCAATTCTGAGTCCACTTGCTGCGGCCCTGGCTGCCGGCTCTGTCGTTGTTCTCGAGGTACGCCTGATCGTTTGAAACACCGTCTCACTTGTATTAGAAGCTGACAGGAAGGCCTACAGCTCGAAGATACGTTGTCGCAGCTAGATTCCGTTCTCCGCAACGTCCTTACGCGCGCCCTCAATCAGAATGCCTTCTGCATCACCAAGAAGATCACAGACGAAACATTGCTGTCACAGGCAATCCTGGTAGACCAAGCCAACACAGCGACCCCGAACGCTAGTCGCGCAAACCATCTCATTTCCGCCAATGGCGCTCGCACCGTTGCTATAGTTGACCGAACAGCCGACATTGAGGCCGCCGCCAAGGCTATCACGGCGGCGCGCTTCAGCTTTGGCGGCCAGTCGCCTTATGCGCCAGACTTAGTTCTCGTCAATGAGTTTGTAAAGAAGGAGTTCTTTGAGGCGTGCTCGAAGTACGCCTCGCTCGCGTTTGCCCGCGAGACTACAGTAAAGCGTGCGAGCGACAGCGCCAGCGACGCAACGAGGAAGGCAGTGCAGGAGGCTGAGGACAAGAGACTTGCCTCGAGCTTTGGGTCCAAGGACTTCAAGCTGGTTGATATACAAGACAAGTAAGTTGGGATCTCACTCTCTTGTAGTTGAAGAAGATGCTGATTCAATCAGGAATGCCTCCCTCTTGAATATCAAGATTAGTGGGCGCTTTCTGCCTATCACGACCTCTTCTGGTCTTGTAGACTCTATCTACACTCACGAATTCGAGTGAGTTAAAACTCATCAGTCACGTCAGGGTTCTGTGCTAATTTGAATAGGAACCCTCTCTTAGCCGCTTATCTCTTCGCCAGCCCTGATGCAGCAAAGTATCTCTCCCAATTTCTCCCCGCCCACGTCTCCCTCATCAACCAGATCCCCTCGAACCTCCTCCTCGGCCCGGCAGCACCGCTCTCCCACGAAGCAGCCTTTGAATTCCGCTACAATAGAGAAATGTTCTCCGTAGCCCGGCCGCAGTTCGTCGAGAAGCCCGCCGGCGCGCTCGCGAAACTGGAGCAGCTCCTCACCAGCTCCGGCACCATCACCGCCCAGAATCTGCATGCCCTGGCTGTCGCACCGCTGCGCCCGACAAACCAGCCAGGCAATAGCAGACTGGGTTTCTTCGAGCAAGGGTTCGTGCTGGGTGCCGGTCTGATCATGAGCGTTGTACTTCCGAGTCTTGCATACGGCACATGGATTGGCGGAAGACGGGTATTTGATTATGCGCTGAAGCTGAGGGGTTAAACCATGGTCCTACGCCGGAGGACAGTCGTAACTCTCAATATGTATCATATCATATCATATACCTCAGGTTTACATGCATGCTACTCTACCACATTCAATCTTCTCCATAATACTCTTCTTGGCATATTGCGAGTGGTCGACAGATCAGGCTATTGAATCATCTCATTCCCGGACTCATACCGCTTAGTCATTTACTGCAAATACGACTAGGGAAACCAAGAAGTGTCGTTGAGGAATTCAATAGTTGGAAAACAGACTGAGGTTGAACCCTGTTACGCCTGTCAGAGTCTCGAACACACCACTTGCCTACCTTTACCTTAACAAACAGTATTCGGCAACTTTCCCCGGCTCGGGTTCGGCTCGGGAAGTGGAGTGACTCTTGAGTGCCCGCCTCGGCCCCATCGGCCCCAGCTTTACCCCAGGTCTTGGTCCCGCTGATTCTCCGACACTACAGCGCCAACACCACCTACTCCAAGCTCGGGCAGGCCACCAAGGCGTCCTCGACAATGGAACGTTTTATCGTCCTCAGACCAGTTTCCGTAAATGGGGCCGTTCGAATCGACTTCCTAACGAACTTTGGCGGCAAAAACTACCCTCCACCAGCCGATTACTTACACAGGCGAAAGATAACCATCTCTCAGTATCTTAAGTCTTGTCAGCTTCCGAGTACTAACAAGGCGGCTTTCGACTGTTGCTCATCTTCGTGACCCATACTCTGCTGCGTAGATATTTCATTACTCGCTTGCATTACTCGCTTGCCTTACTTCGAACAGCTCAGACGAACGAGTTGAGAACCCAGATAGCAATCAGATCATGGCGGTGGGATCCAAAGATGAGGGACCAATGAACCCCGTATTCCTGTTCGCGCATGGATCAACAATGATGCTCGGCGAGGAGAGCAACTCGGCCACGTACTGGAAGAAGTGCGGCGATGAAGCCCTCGCCCAGGGTATTGAACACATTGTCATGATGGTAAGCAGGTTCCTCTCCCTACCATCTCATGAGAGCAACCTCAACTCACAACGACCACCAGGGAGCCCACTGGGCCACAAACGCCCCCGGCGAGGTCCTCATCTCAGCCCACCCAACGCCCGCAAAGTCACCAGTCGCCTACGTCAACCCTCAGAAATACCACCCCTACAAACTAAACCCAGACCTCGACTACATTCCCACAATCCAGCAGCACCTCGCCGCCGCCGGCATCCCCGCCAAGACAGACCCGACCTTTGACTGGATCCACGACACCTATCTCGTCCTCATCCGCATGTTCCCCGCCGGCTGCCCGCCGACGACGCTCATCTCCATGAACGACTTCTACGACCCGCACTTCCACGTCGCCGTCGGCGCCGCCCTGCGGCCCCTGAGAGCCGCCAAGCACAAGACGCTCTTCATCGGTTCCGGCGGCTCCGTCCATAACCTCTACCGGAACAACTGGGCGCCCATGCTCAAGTTCCGCGACAACTTTGCCCAGCCTACGCCCCCGGAGCCCTGGGCGCTAGACTTCCGCCAGGAGGTCATTGATGCCTTTTGTCCCGCGTACGAGGAGGACGTCCCCACCGACCAGGCCGTCTACGGCAAGGCCATCCGCGGCAAGAAGCCGTGCGGCGGGCCGCTCTTGAGGCGCAAGGTGACGAGCTTGATGAAGCATCCCATGTACCGCGAGGCGCATGCCACGGATGATCATTTCATGGCCACCATGTTCATCGGAGGCTTGTGCGGAGACCGGGGAGACGTAGCGATGAAGGCTGAGATGGGAGCCGAGGATTGGGAGCTTACAAATATGTGCAACTCACAGTTCATTATTGGTAGCTGGCCGGAGGCCAAGTGAACGAACCAAGAAGTGGATGAATTTGGGAAATACTTTTTGATGGTATCTGATACAATGTGCCGTACTATCCTGTGAGGCCAAGGCCTCGTCGTTGATCCTTTGTAGTTCCATGTATACCAACGAGATCCTGCCGCAGGCCTATTATTTCAAGAGAACATGCCCCCCGTGCTAAGATAGGTCCACTAAGACAGGTCCATGTTGTCCCATTGGAAATCGTCACCAGCACCGAGGCCACTGAAGAGGTCGTCGGCACCAAGATCCAGTGACCCTCCACCATTGTTCGACGAGCCTCCGAGGCCAAGATCACCGCCAACACCTCCTAGGCCCAGATCGAGACTAACGTTGTCCACAGACATTCCGTCGCCTTGCGCAACATTGGCAGCTGCAGCAGCCATGGCATCATCGAGTGAGCCTGCGCCAGCGTCTAAGCTCAGACCGAGATCGGTCTGCAGCATGGTGTCTGCTTGGATAACCTCAGCCTGGGATACAGCCATCTGAGTCTCTACCTTGCGGTACAGCCTCACAACAATTTCGGCCAGGTTCATGTCGACCTTCTGCAGCTTTTTACACTCCTCGGCATCTGACTTCAGAACCTCTCGCAGAGTAAGCTTCCTCTGGATGGGAGCCGGTACATTGCCCGAATTGTCGATAAAGTTGATCGGATTCGACGGCGTGTTCACCACGTCGGGCGCGCAGACTAATGCTGTTGCCACATCGTAAATGATGCTCCCGCTTCCTGTTTCTGTTTGTTGTCTGATGTCTTCGTAAAGGAGCTGCAGCAAGCGTTTTGCACCGAGAAGTTTCATCGCCACCAACATCTGTCGATGGGTGTACGCGGGAGGCATCCTGTCCATTGTTGGGTGAATGCTCCACTGCACCAATTGCTGTAGCGTCTGTCGGATAGAATTAGAGAATCCTCCCATTGACCAAGCGTCCAGTTCTTGGTGGTCGGCGGCTCCCGTTCTCCTGGAAAGTGGGATACTATCTTTGATTGCTTTTAAAAGTGGTTCAACCTCTTGACTCTTTGGGTCTGATCGTTGGTATGCCCTGAGGGAATGCTCCAGCGGCTTAGCAACTATGTTCATCACAGAAGAGAGCATGGCTTGCGCTTCATTGGATATAGATGTTGGTGCCAAAACAGAGTTGAGTACCCTGACAATCGCCTTTTGGCAGTCAGGACGCTCAACCCACAAGGAGTTGGCAAGAGACGTGATGGCAACGACGAGGGATGGCAGAAGGAACGTATCGACAAGATCTGTAAATATGTCAGCGCAACTCTGAGTCAGACTTCCCAAAGCTCCTACATTCAATGCCTCCTCTGAGGCTCTCTTCGGCCAAGTGTCCTGTACTGAACGCTAGAACGATGTTATGAAACAGAGTCGACACTAGTAAGTAGAAGTCTTGAGGCGGGCAGGACGACATCAGCTCATCGCCTAGTCCGCCCGCTTCCGAGTCAAAGAGGCCGTGAATCCACCCATCCAAATGGCCCTTTTCTTGGTCTGATAACTCTTCCAAGGACCGACTCTGGTGGCCGTGGCCGAGCAGTCTTGCTACAAAAGAGTCAGAGGATATGATCCCCATATCTGATGCCGAAAGACCGTATCGAAATGCGAAAGCCATAACGAGAAGCAGGATTGAGCCAAACTCCTCGTACACGGGTTGATACTCTCCTTGGTCCTCATCGTACTTCCAGTTGTCCAGAAGGTCGCACAAAGGGTGAAGAATCGTTGCAGGTTTCTCGAACATTAGCATGACATCGAGAGACAATGGCTTTTGCGCCAATTGACTGCACAATAGTTTCAGGGACATTGTCTCCTTATTCCTGCAAAGCTGCCCCATCACCTGCTAAAGGTCAGCATTAGACTGCGTTGATAGGTACGGAAGACTGACCTCTGTCAAAGCTTGGCACACGGCGCCGGCGTTTCCCTCTTTGCTGTCTAGCTCCCCAATCAGAGCCTGCATTCTCTCCGGATCTGCAAGACATTCTGCGACGAGATTTTCTTTGACGTATCTCCCGCTTGCTGGGAGGGATGAATATGGTGTTTCTCCAAGGAGAGTTTCAATACTGCTTTCCCGCAATAGGCCGTGGAGACAACAAGCCCAGCAAAAGTCTTCCCGAACTGAGTCTGTGAAGGGGTTGTTGCTTCTGGTTTCATCGAACATTGATGATAGAGTGGGAAAGGTGGTCGTATCGACGCGGCTGAGAGCTTCCGTGATGCAGTATTCTGCATTCACTGGGCCGTACATATGCTTGCTTAGACTTTCAATCAGAATCGGTAATTTGTTCATGAGGAATGAGCGCAAGAGATGTGCCGCTTGATTCCCTTCATTGCGGGAGGCGGCATTGGCAAGTATGTCGAACGAGACCAGGATGAGGTCAACAGTTGTTGATTGTACATCGCCCTGCGGACGTCAGTTGGTGTGCGCGTTGTGTCTGCGCAGACAAAAAAAGTCATACCTGGTATCTATTGTTCAAGTAGTTGAAGATGGCTAGATCATCGATCAATGGCCGGCCAACTAGCTATTGCGCTTCCTGTCAGCACCTCTACCAGAGCGCAGCTTCAGTCAACTTACTGCAGCATTCAAGTATATGTAAAGACCAGCCCTCGAGTTGACTATCGGTAGCTCAGACACTACAAAGTTCTCCAATGCTACCGTAGAGTCAAACAAGTCCTCGATCTCGGCATTCGACTTGTTCTTCTGCTCGTCGACTGGCTCAAAGCCTGCTAGCGTACTCGTCCGGAACATATCGAGACGGGTCGCGATAGGGCCAGCACTTTGCATGATGGTTGGGACGAAGTTGGCGAGGCTTTCGGACAATGCCTTTCTGATTTCTTGTTCAAGATTAGCTAAACGCGAAGTCATTGTAGCAGTAGCTAAGCGCCTACCTTGGGCTTCGGGTTTACTCAGAGCCTTGAGAACAACCTGGTTTTCGCACACCCCGAGAAGCAAAGCTACGAATGCGGCACGCGCCGATTCCATTTCTTCTCTCACCTGGCTATTGTGAAGCTGCCCCATAACATCGACCGTGAAGGCTGTAGCGGCGTCGGTGAAGAGCGCAATCCATTTGGCCATGACATTGGCGATCTCAAGGCCTGTCCCTGTGTTTTGTATTGCGGTTCCTTGTGCTACAGACTTGGTGAGCCTGTAGAACATGACCTCCTCGGCCGCATACGAGCTCTCCCATCGCGGGAAGCTTGTTGTTTGGTTTTCGTCATTGGGCAATTGTCCAGCTTCTCGGGAGTGGCCACGAGAGGTCGAATACTTGTACAAAGCTTTAAGTATAGAAGGCGTATCGATATAGTTCAGGCTAGAGAGGACCTGGAGGTAGCGTGGGACTCGGGGGTCGAGGCTCTCGTGATTGTGAGGTTGCGGTCGTAAGAAGAGATCGGCGACGGCAACTGGCGGCAACGGATGCTTTGCTTGGAGAAACGGAACATAGGATTCGAACTTCTCGGGATCTATGCGGTGAGCCAGACTCTTGGCGATGAATTCGGACCATTGCTCAAGTGCGGCGCGCTGAACGCCTCGTATTACGCGACCGTCCATGTTGGCGATGCTGGCAATAAAGTTGCGGGCAGATTCGAGGTTGTCGCTGTCGTGGAGTAAGACGCTAGGCGGATTAAGCCGGGCTCTTTGATCTCGACCTGGCCGTTCGTACGAGCATACTTCTACGCTCGCTTTGGTAGATGCACAGCTGGGAAAGGATCAGTAGTTTCGGCGGTGATGTGTTCTGGGAAAGTCGGGGCGCATGTGCGACTCTGCGCTGGGACAAGATGGGTAGTATGAGTTTCTTGATGTTTGGTCGCGCTGCCGTTCGCTAACGCAACTTCCATTATCTTATCCACTGCGGAGTGTATCCGCACCTCGGAGGCCCATAGCTACCGTAAGTATCTGGCAAGGTAGCACACAGGGTACTTAGGTACCTAAGCATGCTGAGGCAACTTTCGTAGGTCGCCAGGAACGGATACCCTAGATGCCACTAATGCATTCCCTGCATCTTTCTGAACATGGTGATTGACCACGGATCACATACCTAGACCCAAGTCCCATTATTGGAACTATCTTCTCTTGCCCGAATGGCAATTATGTGGCATGCATACGAGGACATTTCAACAATCACAATACGCTCGTCAGGTCAATTAGCATGTGATGCTTGCACTGTTCATGAATTTGACGTTGATTTCCACTACTGCCCGCTATTGCAGAAAGTTGACTATGAACGCTGTGAGCCAGTTACCACTTGGTTCTGGGGAGCTATCCATGTGGCTCTCAGGCCTGTCTCCCGAGTTGAGATGCACTAGCATCAATCAGCTCGTCTCCTACAGGTGCAGTTTCTGCGGCGAGATGTTGCGCCAATGTGGCCAGTCTCTCCCACGGTGCACAAGTCCGCCTGAGTGGCCAGATTTGGCTTTCATGACGAGCCAGATCCCGACCTACAGCTCTGAAGCGGCGAGGCGGCAGACCTGTCACCCGTGCCAACTGAGCCTCGTCATTCGTTCCTTGGCCCGTGTCCACCGCCTTTTCTCTTCCTCTCCTAGGCTGGAGCTTTGAAGCTACCAAAGGACCTGTCTTCTCCTCACCGGGAATGTCTTTCAATCGTTTCCATCAAGCCATATTAGAGAACGCCGATTGCACGTGTTGTGTGTATGTGTTGGGGGTGTTGTAAAACTGTCAGCCTAGCAAGATGCATAATGCGTCGCTGACAAAAAGGGCATGGGTGACGGTGGGTGCTGTGGATTGGGGAATATGGGGTTGACGGGATATTGATCCAATGTTGGCAAGTTGCTGAACCAGCAAACGGAATTTTCGAAGGTCGCTGGCAATTTGGTACTTTACATGTCCATTGAATCGCCGCCATTGGCGAAGCTGAAGCCACCCTGCTGGGGAGCGGCGTTGGTGCCGAATCCAAAGGTACCGTTGGGACCGGTGCCCTGGGCCATACCCTCGTCCGCGTTCTCCTCCTCATCAGAGAAGTACTTCTCGATAATGTTGTACGCCTTCATGTAGATCTCCTCGTTGGCGTTGGTCTGGCAATCGTGAATCTTCTCCATGCCACCGCACTCCTCGATAAACAAAGCGTAACGGTTGACAGAGTCGGGTCCCTCGCCTGCGGCCTGCTTGTCCAGGTCGCCGACCTTGAGAATGTTTTCCAAACCATCCAGAGCAACCTGGATGATCTTGTTGTCGGGGCAGGCCAACAGATCGCACAAAGGCTTGATGCAGCCCTGAGCGACCAGGTAGCGGATCTGTTCCGGCTTTTGCAGGCCTCCTGATGTCGCGTTGCTAATGGCCCAGCAGGCCTCCTTGCGTGTCTTCAGGTCGCCATTCGACAGGAGGTGGATGAGAGGGGGGATGATGTTGGCGTCAATGACCGACTGGATCTGGGCGGAGTTTCCAGCGGTGATGTTGCTAATGGTCCAGCAAGCCTCCTTGCGAATGCCGTCCTTGTTGGAGCTGAGAAGCGAGAGGAGGCAAGGCAGAGAACCACAGTTGATGATCACCTGCGTCTGAACATCGTCGCCAGTGACAATGTTACCAACGGAGCGGAGAGCGGGCGTCTGAACGGAGGTGGAGGCATGCATGAGGAGCTCGACGAGGCGGCGGGGGATACCAGCCTCGATGACGGCCTGGATCTTGTCGTTGGATCCGTCAGACAAGTATGAGATGGCCCAGCAGGCGTCGATCAGAACCTCGTCGTCAAGGGAGTAGACAAGCTTAGAAAGCACAGGAAGAGCGGGGGCGATCTGTAGACATAGTTAGCGACGGACAGGCACGAAAACAAAAAATGTTACTTACAGTGTTCCAGTCGGGCTGAGGGGTCTTGCCTCTGCAGAAGTTGCTGAGGGTCCAGGTGGCGTTGCGGAGCATACTAAGCTTACGGCTGTCTCCGAGAAGGGCCAAGAGAGGCTTCAGGGCACCGCAGCTGAGGACGTAGTCGCGGCAGTGAGGGCTGTCACCGGCGATGTTGCCCAGGGCCCAAACAGCCTGTTCACGCACATCGGGCTCAGGGCTAGCCAAGAGCTCGACGAAGATGGGGACTGCACCAGCCTCGATGACAACCTGAGTCTGCGTGGCGGAACCGGAAGCGATGTTGGTCAACGCCCAGGCGGCCTCGAATTGGACGAGTGTATGAGGCGATCGGAGGAACTCTACAAAGCGGCTGACAACGCCGGTCTTGATGACCTCTTCGATAGGAGGGTTGCGCTCCTTGGACAACAGCTTTCGGAATTTGGTGGTCGCTTGGATCTGTAGGTCAATCTGCTCTGAGAAGACGCCCTGAACCATCTGGGGGAGATCCTCATTAAGCTGAGAAAGGTTAGCATGGTTGCTTTCAATGAATGGAGGAGCTATAGCTTGTGATGAAGCAGAGTTCGATTCGAGCTCTTTGCGCAAGCTTGAGGCTGCAGAGACGCAAAGAGGGACCGACTCGCGCCAAAAGGGAAGTGGGGCAAAAGCAAGGCGCCCTGGCAACAGGAGGGGGAGGAAATAAGACGAAGGGTGCAACAGTATTGGCGGGGTTCAAACAAAGAAGATTCGAAGGCCAGAATATCGCAAAAAAACATGAAGCAAAACTTACCTGAGATTCAGTAGGAGCGGTATCGTCATCGCTGTCAGGAGCGGCTCCGAGGGAAGCGCCGGGTCTGTTCTCGCCAGAGCCGATGCCACGACGCTTGGCCAAGTTCTCCTCTCTCTTCGCCTTGCGAATCTCAACCTGCTGCTCCTCTCTGCGACGACGAAGCTCCTCAGGCTTGAAGGTGCTCTTCGCCTTGAAGTTGGTGCGGCGATGTTCGGGGATGTATCGATCAGCCATCTTTGCGGTTGCTTGGGTTGATGTGATTGTTGAGTGGTATTTTCTTGCCGACCGTCAGGAGGAGGGGGGAAAGGCAATGTTTGGTCGGCGGTCTGTCCGAGAAAGGCGTCAAGGGAAGAAAGGTCTCTGTCGAGATGGATCTTCTGGATTGTGTCGCGCAAAAGTAAAAAGGAGGGTAGGAGTTGCGCGGGTTGGAAGAAAAATCCTGATATGGTTGTCAGGTCGCTGGGAGAAAAGTTGTGATGATGGGGGGGAAGATGAAGGAAACTGGGAGTCAGGGAGGGTGAAGCGAGAGAGCGGGTCGAAGAAATGGAAAGTGCAGGGCCCTGCAACGACCCAATGGGGATGCGTACGTTCTAGTGACTTTTGTTTTGCGCTGTCTAACGGGTCAGGCCAAGGTACCTACTACGTCGTTCTTTGGGAGGTGCCGGTGGCCGCAAGCGAACTGTCTGATTTTTTTTTGGCACTGGCTTTTGATGGAGGGGCCATCTGAGATTCAGCAGCAGTCGGGTGGCTACCTACCTTGCCTTCCAAGTGTCCCAGTGTGCCCGAGACGATAGGCAGCTTCACCTCCACTGGGGATTTTTGGGTCGGTAGGTACGGATACCTACCTTACCGTAGGTACTACCCAAGGTCCCTGGTGGTCCACTATCACGGGTACAAAGTTGGCTCCATATCCATTCAATATCTGGGTTTGCAGCAAAGGGCTTAATTCAATAGAGAGTCGAGTATCGTGGTATGAGATTATCACCCCACTTTGGCTTTTGACGGCGCTTTTTAGCTTGGTTTCCTAGGGGATTATGTCATTGAAAGCTAGTAGGGTACTTCCATCCGCTGCCCTTCGCTCAGGTATCTTCCCCGCGACGGCCCGACAGTTGCTTACTTTGGGCTACCGCACCTAAACTTCCACAGGACAGTGACACAGAGGGCTGAATCCACCAATTTGACAGCGGCAGGCAGCTGTCTGTCTCCCAGCTGGAAGCCCCGTGCATTACCTCCGTCCGGAGTTCCTTCCCTTACTGCGTACTTACCTACTACGTCGACAGGCGTAGGCACCTGCCTTCGCAGTACCTAGGTAACTGGAGCAGCTGAGACCAGCAGGTGCGTGTGCCCCTCCTTTATCGGGCTGGGCTGCAACTTGGCTCCTGTGAAGGGGACGGTACCTACCTAAAACGCATGGGGGTTATATACCAGGTACCTATGCAAATCCAACAAGCAAACACAAGTGAGTCCCCGCGTAAAGTGACTTTCCTTTTGGTGGGGCGCGACGCGCCTTTGAGATACAGCTCCCCAGCTGTAAGACGCGTCAAACGGCCAGCAAACTCAAGTGCCTCTACGACATGCCAAACGCAGAGTCGGACTTCTGCAATTCTTCAGTCGCCTCTGCGTGCTATGAGAGCGGCAAACGAGGTGCTTTTCCGCCTGCCTTTGCGAACAATAATCCTATCCTCCATTGGTCCAAATCATGGCGATGGCGGAGACCGAAGCCAAAAAGGCGATGGATCTCCCAAAGGGCTTTACGCCCCTGAGCGACTTCGTTGAGTTGAAGGCCCTCCCTCAAAGTGTCGTGAACGTTATTGGTCTCGTCAAGGATTTCCGTCGCCCGATAGTTACTACCGGAAAAGGTGATGTGCTCAAATCATTATCTATCCAAATCCAACTAATGTCTCTTCAGATTACAAATGTCAAATTAGTCTCATTGACATGTCTCTATCGAATGAGTCTGAGGGCCAGGATGTAAACCTCGTCATCTTCCGACCTCCAGGAGACATGCCCACTGTCAAGAGCGGCGATGTTGTTGTTGCTCATCAAGTAAAGGTAAGCCACAGACTTGGCTTCTGCAGACTATTTAATATACTGACAATTGGCCTAGACCCAGAGGTTTAGGAGTGATCCCTTGTCTCTGTTAAGCAGTTTCAGTACAACCCTCCATATCTATTCAGCAACAACAATACCCCTTCCTCCTCAACAGGCGCCAGCTCCCTCAAAGCCATCCGCCACAGACAAAAAGCGAACCCCAGCACCCATAGAGGGGCAGTATATCTCTTGGCTGTACCATAACATCGACAAGACGGAAATCCCCGAACCTGAAGTCTTTGAAATTCAAGCCAATCAATCGCTCAATATAAAGAACAAGCTGTGCGAGTTGCAAGATGTTCGGGACGGCAAGTTCCATGATCTCATTGTCCAGGTCGTCAAAGATCCACACGACTTCGGAGACAAGGTGACGTTGTACGTTTCGGATTACACAGAGAATTCTGGCTTCTTTCACTACACCAACAAACGCCTAGACACTGGTGGTGGCCGAGACGGTGACCCATACGGCTACACCCATGCTAAGACTCGGAAATCCAACTCCGACATCCAGTCAGAAGGGCCTTTTGGCAAGCAAACCATGCAGATCACTTGCTGGAGTCCCCATGCCACTATCATCCGAGAAAGAAGGATAAAAAAGGACGATTGGATTCGTTTGCTCAATGTCCAGATCAAGTATGGATCCAACGGGCAGAACCTGGAGGGTTTCCTTCGAGAAGATCGGAATGCATTCAAGAACAAGATCTGTGTCGATAAGGTGGATATGCCGGAAGAAGGAGAGTTAATGGATCCCCACGTCAAGAATGCCCTCAGAAGGAAGCGGGACTACGAGAAGCAACTCAAAGCTGATTCGAAAGAAACGAAATACACCAAAGCAACGGACAAGAAAAGGCCGGCGGCAGACCAGCCCGAACAAAAACCTCGGAATGCCAAGCAACGTCGAGCATTGAAACGAGATCAAGCTGCAGAGAAGGAGAAGGAAACTGGAAAGGAGGCGGGCGAAGATAAAGAAATTGAAACACCGCCAGACCTCAACGAGCAAGTGGTCTGCGAAAACCACGATGAGCCGGCCGTCGAGGTGGCTACCATTCTCGAACCAGCAACACAGGAATTCATGTTCCAGAACGCGCCCCTGGTAGTCAAACTTCCCTTCCACGACGCACAGTACCGGACCCATGTTCGCATAGTCGACTTTCACCCTCCCAGAATACAGGATTTTGCTTGTGCTCGCAAGCAAAATGAATACGACGTTCTGTCCGATTATTCTGGTACAGACTCAGAGGACGATGATGACGACGACGATGACGAAGAGCGTGTAACCATCGACAAGTATGTAAGCACGAGCGAGCAGAACTGGGAGTGGCGCTTTGCTCTATGTCTCCAGGATGCCACCGCAGCCAAGGACCCAAAGACACGAGAGAAGAAGACGAACAAATTCTGGGTTGTGGTGGATAACATGGACGCCCAGCTCCTGACAGGCCTTGACGCATGCGACTTCCGCACCAACGCGGACGCTTTGTCCCAGCTGCGCGAGAAAATGTTCATCCTCTGGGGAGACCTCGAAGAGAAGAAGACCAAGACATTGGCCGAGCAGGGCAAGAAGCAAAAGGCCAACGTGGGAAAGAAGAAGAAAACCAGCGACCGACCCCCTGATTCCGACGATGAGGATGCGGGTGCGGGCGGGGCATCCAAGACCGAGAAGCTGGCTTTCTCGAACCGTCCCTTCACTTGCTGTATACGTCAGTATGGCATCCAAGTCAAGGAGCCAGACAGCGAGAAGGCAGATGCAGGGACAGGAAAGAGATGGCAGCGAATGTATGGGCTTTTCGGAACCAAGATATGCGGCTACTAGCCAGGTGGCCAAGCACGGGAGTGTACAGGAGGTTTTGGGACATGTATTTACAACGATTGATGATAAACTTGCAGAGCGACGGCCGTCACAGGCACAAGGACTTGTAACAGAATGATGTATCCCTAATGAAATCGTGTCGTATCAGCTAGTACAAGAGCTAATCAGTTGTCTTTTATCCCCGTTCTAACGCCTCGAGTCAAATGAGCCATCCATCCTAGACAGACGCTCCCGTTCGTCATCACACAACCCAGCATTAACCCTACTTTCAAAAGCGGTCCACGAAGACACTACCAAGCCTCCTCGCCTCTGGCCATCCCGCAGTGGAAGACCGAGCCAGACATAGACAAGCGCACGGGAAGAAAGCGGAGGGTAGGGGGGGCTCGCAGCCGCTATCCTTGTATAAACAGAGCAAAAGAACGTCAGAGATGTAAGCCGTGGTTTAATCCTCCCCAAAGTCAGAAAATTTGATTTAGTCGCCCAGTACATCGTCGTCGTCGTTAGTAGCAGGGGGCTCCTCCACGTCAGGTTCCTCTTCTTCCTCCTCCTCGAGTAGCTCCCGCCGTCGTAGATCTTCTTTCGAGCCCTCTTCCGGCTCAGGCTCCTCGACTGCTTCTTCTTCGTCTTCCTCTTCATCGTCATCGTCGACGACAATCTCTTCACTAATGGCGGGCTTCGCAGCAGCGGACCTTGTCGATGCCGCCTTGGACTTCTGTAACTTCTTGCCGTACAGGTGGTCCCGGACCTTTTTGGGATCGAGGTACGCCACCACCTCACTGAAGTTCTTGCCGAGCCTGCTCTGGTTTCGCAGAAGTCGCTTGTGAAGCTTGCCCGCGTGGGGCCCTGATTGATCAAGGACCTTCTGGGCAATAGCGAGGACGTACTTGGCTGCCAATTCACACAGGGCCTTTTCAGACTTGAGCTCTAGAGCCAGCTTCTCCTCTTGCGTTAGGCCTTCGTCTTCATCCTCCTCTTCATCGGAGTCGTCGTCGTCCATTGGTTCTTCATCTTCGGCTGGCTCGTTAAGGATCTTCTTTGTCCGCTTCGCAAAGGTCTTCTCGACGCCGTCGTAGATTGAAATAAGCTCCGGCAGAAGCTTGGGCTCAAGCTCGTGAGCCAGCCTCGCAAGTTTCTTGTAGTTTGCGTTTCCACGAGATTCTTCAGTCCAGTTTCTCAAGGAGCCGAAAAGTACGTGGATATCGCAGAGAGCGCCAGTGGCAAACATGCGGATATCATCGATGATAGCTCGGGACGACAGGGTTTTGATCAGACCGACGTCGTATCTTTTACGCAAGACAGAAACCTGATCCACCACAGAGTCGGGTATTTCGGTTTCACTCTGAATGAACCTCTGGAAGCTCCGCACCTTCCACATGAAGTAAAACTGAATACCCTTGATAGCAAAGGAGACAACTTCATCCTCCAAGTCGTCAATATCTTCGGTCTGTTGATCAAACGTGCCTCGACCAACAATGTTCACCAGGAGCTCGATCGTGGATGACATTGAGTCGGCTGCGCGTCCTTCCGTTTCCAAGACCTCCATGCAGTCGGATATGCGAGCAAGCTCACTGATCTTCATCAGCACTGTGGAAAGCGCCTTCAGATGATCCTCTGCTAGATTGCCGCGCATAGATAGCTCGCAGGTCTTGTCGAAGCTGCGCAGGGTGTTGATGACATTCTCCCACAGAACCGCAAGCTTTCCGTCAGTCAGCTCCTCAAGCTCATCGTACTGGCGAGAGTGGAGAAGAGCTGCGGCGGCCTCAGCAACAACTCTCTTGTCGTCATGCCTATTGAACTGAGTGCTGATCTCATCAAGCAACTTTTCATACTTGGTTGAGTCTTGCCGTAAAGTTTGGAAGACCTCGAGGTCAAGGAAGTGCTCCATCCTAAGGACGATCGTAGCGGTGGCAGGGTCGGCGCCAAACTTGTTGAGCAGTTGAGGAATGACTGTCGCTAATTCCAAAGCGGTCTCTTCTTGCGCCTCGGTCACCTCCGGGCGTCCACTCTTCTTTTTGTTCTTCTCAATCTCAGCAGATTGCAGCATCGACATCTTTACTGCGGATGCCAGAACCTCGAGCAGAATAGCTTCCTCAGTACCCTGCGGTCCAACAGCTTTCTTAAAAGCAGTCTCGGTTGAAACACCGTGAGACTTGGATTTCGACTTGGAACTGACTGTATGATCGTAGAGCAGGTAGCCTGCCAGTAGCTCCCACTGCTTCACGTAGGGGACCTTTTCGAAAAGGACCTGGGAGGCAAGAGAGATTCGCGTGTCTGGAACGTTCGCCTGGGTGACGTCTGCAGCGGTAGCGAGACCTGTGCCATTGTCCTGCTGCTCGCCCTCGACTTGCGCATCGAACGCGGCGAGGTTCTCTGCTAAACATTTGATGTTGACCCATGTACTGCGAGGCGAGTCGTAATCGTCCTCATCGATCTCACCAAACGTCTCCTCAAGCGCATCCTGTCCACCAAGCTCTTCCATCTTGCCTTCGATAGAATCTTCGACGCAAGAGATGAAGAAGTTGACAACCGCTTTTCTAATTCTTATGTCGCTATCAAAGATGAGTTTGCCGATTGAGTCAACTTCGTCTGGTTCGAGCATTCCGGTGTCCCGTAGTACGTTTATGACAGAGATGGCAGCAACACGGACGGAAACCTCGGCGTCCTTGGTGGAGATCTCGATGAGACGAGGCCGGAAACGATCAATGAAGTGGCCCAGCTGTTGCACGTCACGTCTAAAGATGCGTGCCAACTGCCTGAGAACTTCTTGTCGGGTAGAGGCAACGGTGTCTGACAGCATCCAACCGAGATAACGGAGGTACTCGGGCTGCATGAAGACTGTGGAAAGACCAATGATCCAAGATCCCAGGGACTCGACACACTCCGTCCTGATACGCGGGTCGATGTCTCGGTATCTGTGAATGAAGGTGGTGTCGAAAAAGTCCTTGATGTGATTGCCGCACAGCTCTCTATTCTCATTCGCCTCGTTGAGGGTGCGTTGCATCTCAGCCAGCTTCGCCTTATTCTTTCCACGCTTGGCTTGCGCAACCTGTTGCTCGATCGCAGTAATTCGGGCGTCGAGCGTGTTTGCGACATCGATAAGGCCGTAGACAAGGGAGAGGATGACAGTTGTCGCGGTGTGACGGAACGGGCGAAGCGAAGAGGTCGACATGGATGCTATCCAACGAACGAGGTTCTCCATCAAAGTAGCGTCGTTGTACAGTACATCTGTCTCGTGGACACTGCGAACAACGCCCCGGAAGAATCCTGTGAGGAGGTCACGGAAAGCTTTGGTGTTCTTCGCCCTGGAAATGAGGGGATACTCAGTTACTTGCTCCTGTACCAAGTTAGCTGATTGATCCGTGGAACAAGGTTGTCTCTTGTATTTGTACGGGTACATGCCTCCTGGAACAGGTCTTGAAGCTCGGTCAGTCGAGCCTGGCAATTATCAGGGTCGCGAATGTCGTCTTCAGTGACCTCGAGGTCGCAGCCAGAACATTGGAGCACAAGATTGACGAGCTCCACGACAGCAAGTGCATCATTGGCTTGATATCTGGTCTGCCACTTATCTGCAACCTCGTCCGAGGGCATTCCCGAACCGAAAACGTCGGCTATAGACGTGTCAGATGATTGAATCGGCGAATGAGTTCCGGGGTAGCGACTTACCATACAGACCCTCGGCTTGTCTGTCGGCGGTAGCAATTCTGACGGATTTCTTGGGCCGTGACGGAAGGCTTGCGGAATGACCAGACGGGGCTACACCGTTGGTCTTTGGTTTCTTGATTGCGGGCTTCCTTGCGCGGCTCCCTTGCGATGCGCCTGATCGCTTCTTTGGTCTGGCGCGGGGCCGTTCTTCGTCACTATCGGCAGCATCGCTCATGGTAGCATCCGAGAGAATGTCATCGTCGTCGTTTCCTTCATCGTCATCATCGTGTCTTTTGCGCTTGGGTGCGGTGACTGGCTCCGGGCTAAACTTTTCGGGGGCTCGCACGACGCGTCCAGATCGACGACGCGACGACTCGGGTTCGGGGGAAGCTGTCGCGCTCTCCATGATGTCGCGTAAACGTAGAGGCAAAGTTGAATACCGTCTGAATGCCAGCAGATAATCGCAGCAATAGCGACAATTATTTCGCGCCGATGAGCGAGTGTCCGGAGGGGTGGCGCATATGAGGAAAATTGTCGCGTTGAGTAAGTACGTTTACGTCGAAGATGTTTAGGTGACGGGCTCTCCAAATTCGCGAGTGGCAGACAGGACACGGACGGGTTGGGGTGTGGTGGATCGAAGCGCTGGTCCCTGCCTTGGTGCTGTGCGAAGGATGGTGCAGCTGATTGGCGAATGAGCAATGGCCGCCTGGCGCGGAAGGAAGGACGAGACAACCTACGCACCCAGCACCCAAACTGGAAGTCACCTCACGTATGAAGTACTATGGCGGGATACCTTCCACTCGTACCTTGAGCGCGCTCACCCGTCAGAGAATAGGTAAGCACACCTTGATGGAACTCATGTAGCTTACAACCGGCTCATCTAGGTTTTCTATCACAACGTACTCCTAGCATTTGATGCAGACAAAGTAATATACAAATGACTTGGTCAGGGTTCGCTCGAGTGAGTAAAGGAGAGCGAAAGAATGCAAGCAACTTTACACAAGGTGCCAATGATAGGCCGTTCTAGGTACATGTCAGGCTTGACATTAGGGCAGCTCCTATTCTATATTTGCACCCTCTCCGAAAAAAGTTGTTCTCATAGGGACTTTTATGCTGATGATGTGACATTAGGTTGCCGAAAGAATTTAATATTCATCGAGTGCTGCATCCTGGTCGAGCTTGACAGGATGGAGTTTAGAAGCATGAGCTCGCGGGGCGCCGGCGGCAGCACAGTGCATTTTCGATCACTCGCGGCCACACAGTGTCCCTTGACATCAATCAGAACCTCTCATCGAGCGAGCATTGCAGACTCGAGCTGATTTTCGACAATATCAAGTTGCAGCAAGAACGCCATATCACAACCTGTTCATGACCAAATCACCTTTTGACCAAACTCCTGGTATGTGGCTCCGGATGTTGTGTATTTTACAAGTTTCATCTCTAATACTCATCGCAGACGAAGAGCCACCAACTACTGAGCATGGCTTGTCAAATGTACCCCTGATACGTCTGAACCAAAGCAACACCCAAGCCAGCAAAAATTACGATGGAGTCTCCTTTTCCCAAATCATCTTCAGTGGCCGGCGAAGGCGAGATCATAGCTCAGCTCCTGCCCAACGGCTTGTCAGGTCTCAAGGGCATGTCTTACCAGTATCCCCTGAAACTCATCTCTCCGACACCGGCAGCCGACCAGAAAAGCGTTCTGGTATTTCTGCTTTCCTACGGCGGTGGACTTGTCGGAGGCGACAGCGTCAATCTCTCCATCCGCACTCTACCGGGATCAAAACTCAGCATTGTCACACAGGGCCATACGAAGATTTTCAAGTCCGCGTCTCCTGACATCGTCACGCGCCAAACGCTCAGCGTCCACATAGAAGATGGTTCCGGCATCTGCCAGTTGCCAGATCCGGTTCAGCCTTTTGATGGAAGCGTTTACGAGCAGACTCAGATATTCACAGTTGCTCCCAACGCTTCTCTGTGTCTACTAGATTGGGTGACGCAAGGCAGAACGGCACGTGGTGAGGATTGGAGCTTTGTCAAATGGACAGGACGCAATGAAATCTGGCTGGAAAAACAAATGCCCAACCAAAAGAACCGTTTGCTGGTGCGAGACACAGTCATCTTAGACAGAGACAGCCAAGGCCTAGTGGGGAGATCGCTACGAGACTCTATGCATGGAAACGGCCTCTTTGGAACTCTGATCTTGAGAGGGCCCCAGATGCAATCATTAGGCAATTTCTTCCTCGAAGAATTCAGTGCTTTGCCTCGCATTGGCGCGAGGGATTTCAGATCAGCCGAGGCTAAGGCGAAGGAAGAAAGCAACTTGACTGAGCATGAGTTATGGAGGCTCAAGCGCATAGAGATGGAGACGAAGGAAGGTATCTTGTGGTCAGCTGCGAGAGTCAGAGGATGCGTTATTGTGAAGTTTGGAGCAAGTACAGTTGAGGCTGGCCGGCTGTGGATTGGCATCATGCTGAGTCGAGAAGGCACAGTTGCAAGAGTCTATGGAGAGCAAGCACTGATGTGCGTAAAATGAGGCCATCCTTCTTCTTGACTAGCTGGAGGAAATACCGGCATTGGCAAAATAAGCAACGCCGCCCTTCTGAATTTTGTTGCTCATATGAGACCCCTAATTGCTTTTTTTGTATCAATTCGGGCTTAGATTTTTATTTTATTTTCAAGTACAGAGTACTGCTTCAGGCCAGTGAGCAGCGCACTCAAGTTGCGTCGCATCGAATCTGTGCTTGAATGCGGGGTGAATCAACCCCACCTCTAAGGTAGGTGTGCAATACATACAGCGGGACAAGGGGCATGTTTTGTCCCCCACCACGCTGAGGTAATCGAACATCTTTTTCTCTGGGCGGCATCTGTGACTCTCCCGCTAGACACCACCACCAGATCCTATTCTTTACCCTGCCATTGTCGCATACCCAACCCGAAAACACGGCAACGCTCCACGATCAGTCACAAAACCGACAAAGGAGATCGTTCCGAGTCCGTTGCTCACACCCCACTGCCGTCAGTCACCATGCCAGAGGGAGCGCCCCCGGCTCGAGGCGCTGGCAGGGGTCGACCCCGAGGGACGAGAGGAAGAGGAAGAGGAGCTGCTAGCAGTGCCGCACCTAGCACCGAGGGACCAACTTCGACTTCGAGACCATCTTCAGCACTGGGAACAGCTTCGGCAACCGCTGTACCTTCCAGAACCGCAACACCCAACCCTCCCGCAACACGAGGCACTTCAGCCAGCAGATTTCGCCCCAGAGTAGTGCGTAGAGACGAGGCGGCGCGAGACGCAATTGCAAGACAAGAGCTAGAGAAGGACAATGCGAGGGCAAAAGCAGAAGCTCGCGCTCAAGCCCGCTCCCGAGGTCGCAGTCGGCGAGCTCGTGGTGATGCCATGGGTCGTGGCGGTTTCATGTCGCGAGCAGCGGTTGCTAGTGGCCCGTTCTCGCAAATGACAACAGAAGGTATGTTGAAGGAGGGAAGTATCGATTCGGTTTTCTAGTACTGACGTTGTCTAGGAGGTGGCAGGTCCGGCGGAGGATGGGGCGGCGGTGGTGGAGGAGGAGGAGGCGGCGGAGGGTTCTTTGGCGGCGGAGGCGGCGGCGGCCGAAAGAGAGAGGGTGGCGCGTTCGGAGAGGCTTCAGGCCATCGCGAAGCACGAATCAACGCCGATAGACTCGCCGGATATCCTGTCGATCGCGAACCCGACTCTGACGATGAAGAGACGGCGGCACTCATTGGCGCAAAGCCTGGCAATATTTGGCCTATGGGTATCGCCCGTATCGACAAGAAAGAAGAGAAGAAGACGATTGCGACCTCGGCCGAACTTGAGGCAGAACAACAGGGCAAGGCCGAAGAGAGCCTCTTTGTTGAAGGCGAAGGTTGGTCTGGTGCCATTCCCCCGATGGAAGATGAGACAAAGGTCTGGCATGCGGCACCCAAGGGTGTGGTCCAGGTCAAGGCAGAACCTGGCGGCGAACCAGGTGCTATGGATATCGCGCCGGTCGACTTCAACGCCCATATCAAATCTGCGACTCCCGAAGCCGAGGAAGAGAAGATCACTCCTGAACCGAAGACAAAGAAGGCAATGGCCGATCCCGAGGTAGAAATGATTACACACGACATGGAGCTTCTTTTGGGCGAACTGGGCACTGTCACCGACGAAAACTCCAAGGCACCCGAGACAGAGGTTGCGAGCAAGGACGGACGTTTATACCTCTTCCAGTTCCCGCCTTTGCTGCCGCCACTGCAACCTGCGACTGCGCCCAAGGTCAAGCCAGAGCCCGACGACGTTGTCATGCTCGACCAGCCGGGCGAAGCTGTCGACCTCACACAGGCGGAAGAGAGCTCTAAGCCCAAGGTCGAGGACGATATTGACCTCACAGACATTAACCAGTTGGTCTCCCAGGCTGGAATGATGGGAAAGCTCAAGGTGCGCAAGTCCGGAAAGGTCGAGCTGGACTGGGGAGGGAGAACACTCGAACTCAGTCCGGCTGCGGGCATGAACTTCTTGACTACGGCAGTGATTGTAGAGGAGTCAGACGAAAAGACGAAACAGGGTGTTCCTGGTGGAGACAGTATTGGCATGGGCAAGATCATGGGCAGATTTGTTCTCGCGCCGACTTGGGGTGACGAGGAAGAGTGGACGGTTGACCCAGAGGATCTTGTTGTTCCCGAAGCGTAAGGCTGTACGCCAGTGCTGACGAGAGCATGGGAGAGATGGAATTCATCGTTCGCCGATTTACCCCGCTAGTGATCTAATGTCAACAGATCGGACGGGGGGAACAGCATAAGCCGCTAGTGGACTTGGCCCCAAGTCTTGTTTGGGAGGTATTGAAAGGATAGACAAAAAAAGAGATACCCTAGGCTAATTGCTTTGCCTCAGTTCGGACTGCTCTCAAATGGGACGAACCCGAGGGACGGCGCCGTTCCGTCGGTCTTCCCCACACTCCGCATGTGAGACCATCCGTGAACACCAACCACCAAGACGCGGTGGCGGCGCTTATGTCTGCAGTATCTCGTCACGATTCTTCAAATAACCATTTCCATGCGGTCAGCTTTCTTTGAAAGTCTGGTAAAACCGATCATGATGAAAAGAGATTGTGGCAACCTACCGGCTTAATCAGTAGAATCAGCAACCGGCCACCGGCGCAACTCACAAACTCTCACAGTCTTACTATCCAGCATGGAGCGGCACACTCAGAACAGCTCCAACAACGATGGTCTACATGTGATAATCATCGGCGCGGGTCTTGCAGGGTTGGCGACGGCCCTCTCAACCAAACTCGCGAACCCTTCTCACCGCGTGACGATCCTCGAGGCAGTCAAGGAACTGCAGGAAGTCGGTGTAAGTCCTCTCATTCCCCCCTTACACACGCGCGCCCTTCCACGCTCCAGCGCTTCTGAGCTCCAAACTTCGTCCAACTCACAAGAGACAAAATCGCAGGCCGGCCTCCAACTCACACCAAATGCGACGCGCCTCCTCGAAGCTTGGGGTCTCTTCCCGGCCCTCGCCCCCCTCGCGACCGTTCCCTCGACCCTCTCCGTCCACCGCTACGACGGCACCCGCCTCCTCGCCCACGAGCCGCACCTCCAGGAGACGATTCAGTCCCGCTACGGCCATCCCTTTTGGGGCCTCCACCGCGTCGAGCTCCAGCGCGCCCTCGTCGACCGGTGCGCCGCCCTCGGCGTCGACATCCGTCTCGCTTCGCGCGTCCGCTGCGTCGACTTTACCAGCGCGACAGTTACTCTCGATCCGGGATCGGATTCTTCATCACCCTCCTCCACAGTCTCCGGCGATGTAGTTGTCTGCGCAGACGGAATGTGGTCCGCCACCCGCGCCCAATTCCTCAATCAGCCCTCGCCCCCCTCCCTAACAGGCGACCTCGCCTTCCGCATCGCAATACCCATCGACTCCCTAAAGGGTCCTCACAAAGCCGAGCTCGAGGCCTTTATCAAATCCGAAACCGTACACTTCTGGATCGGGCCCCAGGGCCACGGCGTCTCCTACACCGTCAAGCAGGGCCGCATGCTCAACCTCGGCCTCCTCTCTCCCGACAACCTCCCCGAGGGTTCGACAAAAGTCGTCGGCGACGTCGAGGAGATGCGCGGCCTGTTTTCCAGCTGGGATCCCTTGCTCCGCAAACTGCTTGACCAGGTGGAGAGCGTGCACAAGTGGAAGCTCTGCTGGATCGAGCCGCTGGACGAGTGGGCGAGCAAGGACGGGAGGTTTTTCATGGCGGGAGACTGTTGTCATCCTATGTTGCCCTACCTCGCGCAGGGCGCCAATTCCTCACTCGAAGACGGCGCCGTGCTTGGCCACCTGCTCGGCAAAGTTGGCGGCCGCGCAACAGAGGCCGGAGCTGGAGAGAGTTCGAGCTCGACCTCGGCCTCTCAGCTCGCTGCCGTGGCGGCCATGTACCAGCGTCTTCGCATGGCGCGAGGCCAGCGCATCGTCATGGAATCCTTTGCGCAGCGCGACGATTTCCACATGCCCGACGGCCCAGAGCAGGAGCGCCGCGACGAGATCATGACGGCGTCGCTGGCGCCTGGGGAGGAGCCACGGCCGGGGTTCCCTTCGCGATGGACATGTCCTGATATCCAGCGGTTTCTGTACTCGTATGATGCGTATGAGGAAGCGGAGGCGGCATACAAACAGGATCCGTTCTAAGTGTTTCCAGATTGGGTCATGGCCAGTGTAAGAAGCTCATTCGGGCTCTCTTACTCTATTCAAGATGGCTTCGAACTCTTTGTACATGCGCGCGCACTAAGCGGCGCGGTTTAGTTTGAATCCAGCATATACTAATGATCTATGCTTCTGCCCGCCTTGATTGTCCAAAGACTAAATGCATTCAAGCATCTGAAGGCCAGAGTATCCAATATCTATACCGGTCTTCTTCATCTCCAAGCCACATGAAAGCAGCTCCATACTGTTCTCTTGCTCAGTATGCGATGCGCCCGGGTGTACCCCTAGGGCACCCTTGAACGCCATGAAACCACAAAGGTAGACATAATCGTATCGATACAATGGTCGGAATTTTCCCCTCTAGTCACCATTATCTATCCCTTCTCCCTCCTCCGAGCCCGACCCGCCCACTATGCTGGCTCTGTGCATCGAGACCGTCGAGGTCAACCGAAGACACGCTCGGGGTGCCCAGCCTATCCCCCGTCCAGGTGTCGCTCGCTTTATCTCCTTCGATTACGTACATTTCGCTTTTAGTGTTGCTATCCTGTCTCCGGTTCGGTGGTGCCATGTAATCCGAGCCGAGTTGCGTCCCCGCCGTCTTTGAGCCGCCTTGCGCAAACGGCCCCTGGTACCCGAGCCGAGAATTCGGCTGCGGCATGGGTTCATGTTTTCCTATCCCGCCGAGCTCCAGATCCGTGTCGATACCGTCGATGCTATCGGTGCCGTAAGGGTCGCGGGGCGCCGAACGGGGCGCCGACCGCGCCGCCCCTGATCTCATTCCTCCGCTGATGTGCCCGCTGATGTGTCCGCTCATACCCGGCGTTCGGTCGGTCGAGGTGAATCCGTTGAGTCGCCATGCTCGGAGGAGCGGTCGGATGGTTACTAGACTGGAGGCCACGATTGCAACTCCGGGCTCGACCAAGGTCCAAACCATGGCATCTGTTCCCATAACTGCAGCCGTGTTAGTACGGTCCAGGGTTCATCTCTGGCTTTCGAGCCCGAAAAGGGGGTTTGGAAATGGGCAAGATCGTACATAAGATATCGGTCAGATCGCTGAGGTCGGCTAAGAACTTTAGTCTGATGAGGGTTGCAATGCTGGCACTGGGTCTTGTTAGTCAATTTCCTACTGGCCACCTCATCATAGGTTTGCTTACAAAATTCCCAAACCGAGAATGACAATGACAGTCGCCTTGGCTTGCTTGGTCATCTTGACGCTCCATATCATAGGTATAGGGAGCAAGGCCTGGATGATGTTAACATCAACTCGAAGGCATCGCAGGTTCGTGAGAGGAAGGCAACTTACGTAGAGCCAATCACTCAAAATCGTCATGACACTGATGGAGTAGGCTGCCGCTACAACAGCGTCTGGCGATACACACTTGGAGTTGGGAATAGCATAATCCCATTGCGCTTCGACAGGCGAGCACTGGAAAACATTCCAAAAGAAGATGACCACACTCCAGACCGTGATAATCGCCAGACTGACATGGATGATCCAGTTGTATAGTTTTGAGTTTGAAAGTCGCAATAGGAAAAAACCAATGCTCAGCTTGATGAACAGCATATCAAGCACATATGTGGCGGTAGCCAAGGCTTGGTACTACATGACTTGGTCAGTGACACCAAAGAGTACAAGGAGTTAAGCCAACAAACCATCAAAGCAGAGACCTCCTTCCGTTGATCCAGGGCTTGGTTGTGGTGGCCGAGGCCATCATTAACGCCGAGGAGGATAAAGGAGCAAGAGATGGTGAATATGATCTAATAGTTCAAGTCAGTGAAGCCGTAGCATGGTCCGCCAAGAAGAAAACTCACCTGGGCAACCAGCATGAGCCAGTCATCGGCTTGGAAGCCTTTGGTCATGAAAGCTCGAACATAACATCTGAGAACGACGGAAAACCAAGAGAGTACAAGGAAAGTGATGGCAGTGGCTACGAGAGCACCACCATTGCTCTCTGATAAATCTACCTCGGCCATAGGGCTGTGGTACCGAGATGCTCTAGGGAGTGACAACTGAGAGAGAGCATGGCCAAACGGGGAAAAGAGAGAGCAAAGCAGCCCGGTAGGATGGTTACATGAGCGAGACAATGGGATATAAGCTGGTCAGGATCGATGTACAGTACTCGACACACAAGGGGCCCTGGCCTGAGAACCCAAGGGCTGGATTCCCAACTTCCCGAAGCGCGGATGAAAGAGGGTCGCCGAGTCTGAGACCCCGGAGATGGGCCCCCGGCAAGGCAGGGTCGACATGTGGAGAGAGACGAGGATTTAGGTAAATCAGTCCACAGCCCAAAGCAGCCGCATGGATGATGATGGAATATGAATTGGAGGCAGGGGACCGGCGAGGGCTGGCCGGACGGGATTTTTGCATCCTTCGACTGGTGCGGATTTGTGAAATAAGTCCCATAGTCCCAGACCGGGCTATGCTTGTTCGTCAAGGAGGAGGAGGAAAGGGGATTGCTCGTAAAGATGCACTAGGTAACAGAGACTAAGAAAGGTTACTGGGGGTATATGCCGGACAGTGGGCTCGGTCTGGAGAGCATGTTCGAATATGTAATGTATTCCACTGCACAATATCTGCGGATTGAGTCCGCGGATGCAAACATTCGAGGCCGTCTCACCTCCGAACGTGATGGGGGTTGCAGTATGCAGAACAGACGCACGTCTATGGAGCCCGGGAGGTGGGAAGCAGGGAGGAGGGTGGTGAGCTCTCCCGGGAGGAAGAAACGAACGAGCCAAGAGTTCTTTGCAGCCGGTCCCGCAGATGGGAACACATTTCGCCTTACGCTGCGTACTCGTCGGTTGTGATGTCTGAAAAGAGAGGAGAGAGAGAGAGAGAGAGAGAGAGAGAGAGAGAGGACAAAAGCCGGTGGGCAGTAATAATTGGTATGCTGTGCTGTGCCGCTGCTGTTCTTGGACGGCCGCCGCGGGCGACTCCCAACACCCAGAGATTACCTGCTTGGTCAAAATCTCGCGAAGAAGACCATCTGTGCAATCAGCCAGGCTCTGACACTGGTCGAGAACATACGGTATCAGCGTGACTTCACGAAACCACTAGGTTCGGTGAAAGCACACCGCTAGGCCTTGGTTGGTGGTCGTGTTTGCCGAATCTTGAACTTTGTGAACGGTGGTCCCTGTCTTCATGGAGGTCACGATTGAGCTAGAAGGTTGGAATCTAAGCCAGAGCAGCGACCATGCACACAATGAGGAAGTCAGCTCCGCTGAACATGGTAGACGCGTCGTAGTTTGGGCCCGGCGATTTGGAACATCCTGGACGAGGTTGGTGTGGTTTCATGCGCGCTAGCAGCATCGACACAAAACGTATCCGTAGCGTACAGCTAAGATGAGGTTTCGCTAACGAGGCAGAAGGCGCACTTGCCACTAGGTGCCACATGGCGTGGTATGAGTTGGAGGGAACTGGCAAGTCGGAGTTGTGAACTTGTGTGTGATATGAAGCGTCGGACTTGACGAGCCGAGCTATGCGGCCAGCGGAAGACTGAAATACACTAGGAGGCGGCGAAGCGGCGGCCCCTGGTTGGGCTGCATGTCGCTTTCGGATGCAACATGGGTGGTGTTGGAGAACGCTGACGAGCAAAGAGAAGACGAAGGGGAAAAGCAACGACGGATGCAACCCAATTTGGCTGACAGGGCGCACTGGCGATGGGGAGAGCCGGCGGGAGAGCTGCAAGAAGAGCGAGGGCCAGACCGTAGAGGGCACAAAAGACGAGCAAGGCCCCTCGAGTTGCATATTGAGATCCTGTTCTCCCCATTGCTCACCCAATCATCGCATAATCGTCTTTCGTTCTTGAGTGATGACCGCCATATGATCCTGAGCTTTTCAGTCTTCAGCGGTGCGGGGCAGGGAGGATACCGGATTGTCAGAAAACAATAACAAGATGAACATCTGTCCGTGTGTTTTAACTTAACACATGGGACCAAGTTTTGAGTTGGCGAGGCCAGACCAGACGGGATGATTACAGTGTCGGCCGGCAGAGGAAGAAGCGCAACTTGTTTGGGCGCGGGCAATATGCCCAAGACGAGAGAACGGGGCTGTAAGAGGGGCTACTGGGGGTCAACTCCGAACCTTCTGCAGTCTAAAAAGTGAAGTTGTGGCCCTACTCCGTATACTAGGTAAGGTAGATATGCTCGATCTCCTGGGATTGTGTTGGAACTTGTGGCCAGCAAGTTCTAATAGGAGGGCCCTTCCAAGGTCTGACGGGTCACGACAAAACAGCGGCGCTCAGCCCTCGGCCAATAGCGCACACTGTTCATATGTTCTGTAGATTGAAATGGGGTCGCGTGGGTTTGACGTCGGGCAGTCCCCAGGTCTGGAGATTGCTCTGGGTGAAAAAAGCTTGCCGTCGGTGACAGGTGGAGGACCCGGCTCGGGAGAAGAACAGGGTGCCGTGGTGCCTGCTAGTCTATTAGGCTCTTTGAACTTTTGAAGTTTGATGGCCGGGCCGCGACAAAAGGTGGGCGTTTTCTGTTTACACTACTGCGTATTCCAGTAGATTGTATACTTTATCCATGGAGTGGTTTGGGTGGATTGCGAGGGGCTCCTGAGTGGAGTGTCAGAAGATGGCGTTCCTCGGCATCGACGATGAAATGTGACTAAGAAAAGGCGCTTGATCTTGGCACATGTTATTCGGGAATGGCATGGCACAAACCAACCGTTTTCTGGCGTGCCTAGCTGACTGTGCAAGTTGAAGTTCGATACTAAATAACGGAAATTAGGTACGGATACACTACTGTGTGGACTCGCGGAGTATACTTGTAGATTTGTCGATGAGGCGTCACCGTTTGGGCACAGACAATGCTCTAGAAGCAGAACCAGAAGGAGAAGGAGAAGGGGGAAGACCTGACGGGAGAAGCAACGACGGCACCGGACTTTCTCCATTCTCCTCCTTCTCCTTCTCCTTCTCCTTCTTTCCTCCAGTCTGTGCCCTTGGAGCCCCCCCTTCCTGTGGCTTGCGTTTCTGTTCCTGCTCCTTCTCTCTTCTCTTGCTCCTGCTCCTCCTCCCGGGTGCCGCTCTCCCCAGTCCCGCACATTTGCACCTGCTTGCTGCACCCTCGGCCGAAATGAGGTGGTGGCCGTCGGCGTACCTTGCATGAGGTACCTGCCCAGGTGCCCAGGTACCTACCCAAAGGTAACGCCAACGGACTGTGAAAGTCTAGAGTACTGTCTCCATCGGCACGTTTTGCACTGCCATATTGGTACCTGTGTACGGAAACCTCGGCTAAATTGTCTAGACCAAAGTGGATGTCGAATCCCCTGCAATCCTGCCACCACCAACATCAAGAGGGAAGGAGCGAATGCGCTCAAAAGCACCAGGGCCAACGCCATCCCAATCCCAGCTTACGAGTGCGCAGAAAGGAACGAAGGATTACACTCTCCTAAGTACCTTGAGTTCGCACTAAATTGGCACACTTTGGTTATCTTCATCACAGGAAGCCATGCAAGTGACGGCAACAATAGCATGACCAGATCGGGTTGGCTGCTCCCATTCTTCGTTTACTAGTTGAACCTAGCATCGGTGACAGTAGGTGGCTGAGAAGACGCAGTACGCGCACGTCTACACGTAGGTAGATAGCAACGACGGACAACATCAAAGACCTTTCTCGCATTCTTCCCGATGCCTACACATGATATCAATCGACTCTTCTGGCTGCGTGAAAGTGGGCTAATGGCTGTAGATACGGAAGTTTTTCCATATTTGAAAGGGGCGTTTCAGTAGCTCTGCTTTTGCATGGCTCGCTACTGATGCTGGAGGGATTACATTCCCAGTTGGAGATGCCGCATATCCAAATCTACGTAGCCCACAAAAATGCAGCCGCGGCTACATGGTCATTCAGGATTCAGTGTGGTCTGATGGTGTTAGCTTGTCTGCTTATCTGTAGATTCAGACAAGAAACAGTAGTATTTGCTTACATCCAACAGCAGCGCAATATATCCCATTATCGACGGTATGTATCAAGTATCAGACATTCTTTGGGGTATTCGGGGCGAACAGCCGGGTACAAGTAGCCTGAAATCGATCCCAGACGTTATGGCTTCAGAGCGTCTCTTATATATGGCCAAACAATGGTTGCCAATGCTTCAATGCAACGTCGTTCCAACCAACACGTCCCGCCTCCCCCGGCCCGCCTTATGAGCGTAGGAGCGGCATCCCTGCCGCCATTCCTCGGCTTCATCTCCAGTTCAGGCCCGGGCTTCAGGCGGGAGAAAGGACTTGAGACTTGGATGAGGACGGCAGTGTCTTTCTCTAACCATTTTCCTCCGAAAAGACGCCTTGCTCTCGTCATTACGGCGGCACAACGGATCGAATCAGGCGATTTGCGGCGTCGCGATTTTGCCACCGGGGTGTTCCTCCACACGCGAACGCGGGGTTTTCATGCTCATTTCCAGTGACATATCCGCATCGATCAGCAAACCTTCGATGAGCCTTCAGACGGTGGCAGAACCAACACTACGATCCGAGCATTGGCATGTCGACACCACACCACCAGGCTATACTTCCGTGATCGACATATTGTCTGTGTGGAAGAGCATAGGCGGTCGGGAACCGGCTGCTAGTTCGGCAAGAGGATTCCAGATCGCAACCCACCGTTACATCGCCTACCGATCAATTTCCCCTCAGCTTCAGTACATACACCAAGGTTGCACTCACAGTGTCTAGTTCATCATGAACGTCAGCAGTCAACTGGAAAGCTTCTCTGGTGCCTTTATAGAGACTGCGATGCGTAAAACTACAATAAAAAGCTTTTCATGAAGCACTGGTGTTCCTTGAGTGACAAAGGGATGAGAAAAGCTGCGCGACGATGAATTGGCGGGACTCGCAATCGAGGCAAAGGCAAAAGCTCTGAAGGCCAAGTCATGTCGCAGTTTAAAATGTTTTCAACGAAATATCAGTCAGACGAGGAGAATAGCGAGAATCGTACAGTTGCATTGACACGGCCTCAGACGCTCGGAGCCGGGCCAAGCAGCAGAGAAAGGAAGCCACAAAATTCGGCCGCTCTCGGACGCGGATGTAAGGACGGGAGCCCGGAAGACGGAAGGCCCCACTCACCCCTCTCCACCCAACGGGTGTCAGCAGCTCCGAACCCTGGGCCGTCGGAGTGACAAACACATCTTGTTATCCACGAAAGCCTCGCACTGACACAAACACTTCCTTACACACAAACTTCCTCAGTCGTCCCCCCGCCGGACCAGACACTCGCGTCTCATCACCCTGAATACCCCTCCCTCATTCTGCGAATTACCCCGTCTCGACCAGGTACTATTGCTACTGCTCGCCCTTTTCACTTCCAGCCTCGGCCTGCTTTGCTTTGCTTTGTCTGGCTTCAACCCGCCGCTCGTCGAGCTAGGGTCTGGAACTGAAGGCATTGCAGCATTCTGCTAACGTCTAACCCAGGCCAGACACCCGCCGTCATGCCAACCACTCTCAAGTTCACTGAGCATCGTTATGCTGCTGATAACGAGCTTCAGAAGCTAGGAGTGTGGGAATTTCCCTCAAATACGGATAATGCCTCTGGATACTGGGTAATGTGGGTTATCTAACCCCTCTTGAGATACCGTCATCCCCTTGTCAGCTTCAGTAAATCATTAACTCACTTCACACTAGCTACGTCCACGGTGGTGCCTGGCGTGATCCCCGAAAGACTCTTCAAGACTTTGGCGCTTCTATCCAGGAAATCTTGAAGTCCAGGTCCATCCCCAGGTCTGAGATTCGTGGCTTCATCAGCATTGACTACCGTCTCTCTCCACACCCCCTCTACCCGCAAGACCCCGACGTCACTTCTCCCGCAGAACTTCGTTGTGCTCAACATCCGGATCACCTTCGCGACACCTGGTCAGCCCTTGCATTCTTACAGCGTGAATATCAAGTCGGGGACCGTTATATCCTCATCGGGCACTCGGCCGGCGCTACCTTGGCCCTTCAACTGCCCATGGGATCCGTTGCGCTGGGCGCGGCCCCGCCGCCGGAGGTCAAGATGCCAACTGCGTTCATTGGCATTTCCGGAATATACGAACTTTACAACCTCAATGCCCGCCACGAACAGACTTACACGCAATTCATTGCCGGTGCCTTTGGAGACGACCAGAATTATTGGAACAAGGTCGTTCCGGCCACCTTTTCAGGGAGCTTCAAGGACGCGCTGCCTACCAAGCCGCTTATCTTACTGGCCTGGTCGCCGGAAGATTCGCTGGTTGATGAGCCCGAGATCGATACCATGGCGGCGAAGCTGAAGAAGGATGGAGTGGACTTCACGATTGTCAAGGACCTGACTCACGATCATGACTTTGTCTGGGAAGATGGCAAGCAAATTGCACGCCTGCTGTCGGAAGCTCTCACCCTGTTGAGGAAGAAGTGAATTCGACGACGAGCGGATGAGATTCGCACTTCTTACGACAACGCCTGGCATTGCAGATTTATGATGGATCATTGTATTGGTCTGAAGTTCTCAAAATATACCATTTCTTCATTAACATCCACTTCATATTCTATTCTATCTGTTTTGAAGTGTGACACATGGTCATTCGTGCCTCTCTCTACAACTTGGCTCCCCAAGCCTTGCCAGCCTTGGCCGTTCTCGCCGCTCCTACCGTCAGCGCACCGGCAATCATCATTACGCCGCCCCAAACCTGAGCCCCGAGATACGAGCCCCCTGACCTGTCGATGATGGCGCCCGCGATCGGCGGACCAGCCAGCGTCGCGAAACCCGAGATGGTAGCGACCATACCGAACCGTGTGCCCATCTTCTGCGGATCGGTCGTCAGGCTGGCGGTCGAGCCGACGAAAACGCCCTGCGTCGCGCCGTTGGACAGACCGTAGAAGACGCTAAAGGCGTACATGCCCGCCCTCGTCTCCACGCCGATCCAGGCGAATTCCATGCAGCCCAGGAGGAACATGGTCATGACGAACATGTTGATCGGGCCGACGTGGCGGTCAGCTAGCCAGCCGACGATGGGCCGGATCGGGATGCCCATTCCGTTCGTGATGAGAAGAAGCGTCACCGACTCTGTTGTGGAGAATCCTATGACCTTGCGGGCGTAGGTGTTGATCTGTTACCTTCATTAGCATACGAGAAGCATCAGAAAACACGACTCCTAGTCAAACTTACATAAAAGAAGCCAAAGTACAGTGCCATGAAGTAGAAGAATACTCCCAGGGTGTACAAGATGTACGGAAGCTCCCGGAAGGCCGACCACTCCAACAACGGCCCAGCCTTTCTCGGAGGGAGTCTAGGCCTCAGCAGAGCAATAGCAATCGTCGCCACGCCGAGCGCGACGAACGCCGAGCACCGCACAGCCCAGGGGAACCCGACCTGCGGGATGAGATACTGAAGCGTCGACGGGAAGATCAAACTCCCCACTCCCGTCCCCGTCGCCGAGACAGCGAGCGCCAGAGACCGCCTCTTTTTAAAATACGACCCGATGATAGCCACGCCCGGCATGAACAGCACGCCCAGCCCCAGGCCGGTACAGATCCCCTGCGCTAGCATAATCTGCCAATACCTCGTACACAGGCTCGTCATAAAGGACCCAAACACCACAAAGGCACAACCCACGGAGACGGCGTGCCGGGCGTACCCGGCGTCCGTGAGCCGGCCCGAGACGGTACAGACGGCGAACGTCAAAAAGATTTGCACGGAGCCGATCCACGAGACCTGTGAGGCGGGCAGGCGCAAGGTCTCGGTGTAGTGGAGCTGGTAGACGCCGAAAGTGGCCGGGTAGCCCCAGGCGAGGGCGTTGAGCATGTTGCCGGCCAGTACCTGGGACCAGGCCGTCCAGCCGCCTTCCGGGTAGACGAGGTCGTGCTCGGCGGACCATTCGCGGACCTGGTGCTCGTCTGCCTCCGAGGTCTCCTCTTCGTCGGTTGCGGCGGCCGTGCCGGTGGTTGTTTGGATCTCCTTCTCCTTCTCCGTGGTGGTAGGGAGTTCGGCGCTGGGGCCGCGGCTCCTCGATGAGTCTGATGTATCGGACATGGTGATGACGCCCTTATTTTGATTAAACGAATGTTGTGATGATGGCATATCCATCCCGGGAAATAGACGGTTGACAAGACGAGACAACTATGTGGTTAAATATGTTGAGTCAGGTCCTCCATCGATCCAAGGGGGCCCGAAAAGTCTTTTTTCGTTTTGTCCTTTTTCTCAGCTGAAACTATTAGATATTAGGGATGTAAAGCGAGGAGGTCCAAAAAAGAAAAGTCGTTTCGTTTGTCCAAGAGTCATAGCCCAAGTGGACGCTACTAGCAATAAGTAAAGAAAAGTGATAGAAAAATAGAAAAGAAATCGAGAAAAAATTGCAACCCAACCATCGCGCCGAAATCGCCCTATCTTTCACCCCGACTGCCGAGATTGAAGAACCTCCCGTCTACGGAAGCAGTGTCACAATGCAACCAACGGGAAATCGTTAGCAAACAATGGTAGCAAACACGGCCGGGATCTTATTTCCGGGCCTGCGGTGTGACCGCCGGGAGCGGGAGAGCGTCCCTTCCCTCCTCTGCGTAGCAGCGGGACTCGGCGCCCAACATGTCGGCTTGGGCGTACGCCTTTCACGCCCTATCTTATCCTACGGCCTAGGTACTACCACGGAGTGTTAGGAGTCTTCGGCGAGACGGAGTGTTCGCCGAGGGGCGATGGTGCTCCGACCGGATGCCCTCGAGTGAGACTTTGACGCGGTAATATTTTCGGTAGTATGAGTCCCGGGGAAAGCCTTCCGAAGCGGAAGACCCCACCCGACTGGGCAAAGTTGGAACGTGAAGAACAAAAGTTTGCTCCAGTTGATATTGCGGTTTGCTTGCTTTACAGGGCTGCAGGGCAGTACCGGAGTATATTGGTCATGCGCATATTTCTTATTTCTCCCTCTCTCTCTCTCTCTCTCGTCCCAACTATCAGGTAAGTCTCCGTACCTACCCGAGATTCTCATCTGGCCCTGTCCAGAGAGGTCCTCGAAATTTTGAGAGTTGCGTGACTCGATCACTCACTGTCATTGGACGTTGAACGTAGCTTGGTGGTTCTGGGGGGTTGTGGCCACTACTCCAGCTACCTTGGCAAAAGGCGGAGTTGCATTGTAGACGTTCTAGGTCCGCAATTGACCTGGCTCGACAAATCTATCTGTCCGTATCCGTACAGCTTACTACTACAATAGCGTGCTTTGCGGATAGCTCTGCCGCTGCGGGCTAGCTAGAAAGAAGGAGAGGCATGAGCACAGGAAGAACGAAAGCGCCGCAGGAGTTGGGAGATGAAACATAATCGATCAGTCATTGGCACATACTTCAACTCATACGTGTAAGAAGCACACCTTTACTCGGTCGAAAGTAAGGCAGGATGTGTACATAACAACCATTGTTATGTTCTTCGCCATGCAGAGGCTTTCCGTTTCTCAATGTTCCTCGGGACTGATAAGATAATATCTTATCTTCCGCCGGCTTTCCCAAACCAACCATCGATTTTCCCTAGTGACAATAGAAAAAGGAGCGACAGCGGACGTACCGCACGGGCCGCCTTCGGTTGCAACTTCCCAGGACCGTCCCCTCTCCAAGAAAACCCGAACGCCAACAAAAAGCTGAGGACCCCCACCGGCGCGCCGAATCGCGGATGCGGGGCGCAACCTCCCGTTCCGTTTAGTTTACCTTGAACGTGCATCCGTCCTCATCCAACCCACCGTCTTCGCCCCGTCGCATCGCATCGCATCGCTAACAATGAGAATACCTTACCGAGTGGTCAAGATGCGATTTGCAAAAGAGCCCCCGATCGAAGAAGCAATAAACGCTGCAGCTAACACGTTTCTTCATCTCTCCCTTTTCTCTTTCCTTTTTCTCCCGCACGCGATTTCCATCTTTCTTTCCCGCCTTGCATTGAGGCTTTCGCTGTGCTGCCTTGCCTTACTGCGATGATCGATCCATACCGTCGGGCGCAAATTGATTGCGCGCATCACCTCACTCCATCCCAACGCGACCTCCCAACCCGCCCAGTGCCGTCCAATCCGAAGTTCCGAGAAAAACGTGTGAAAAAGTGTCGTCACCAATCAGTCTCAAACACAACAACGCGCCGCGGATCATGACCTGATGACACCCCCGATCCTTTTCCATCCCTGCGTCTTCCCTACCTTACCGTGCTAACCTTGTCACCTTGTGGTGTTGGTCGCTGGCCTTGTCTTTTGGTTCCAAGGGGAAAAGAAGGGGTCGCAAGCCCGCATTTGTGCTATTCCCACTCTGCCTCACCTATCTTATCCATATGCTGGCCTAACGCATGCACTATATCGCATTTTTTGCCACCTGCTCCAGTTAGCTAGCTACTCGTCTTGGAGTCGCAGCAAGATTCGCGACTGCAGGCACAACCACCAAACGTCCCATCCCCCTCCGCCGGAATAAGCACCGCCACCAGTGAAACACCCAAATCCCTCCAATCCCAGGAAGCTCGCACCTCCATGCTGCGCCTGCGCCTCTCCAAAACGTCCAAAAAACGGTAAGAGTAGATCAGCGCATAAAAGTAAACAAATAAACAGAACAACAACAAATAACAAAAACCCCAGCTCGAGACGCGACTTCGAGACGATCCAATTCGCTCCTTTTCTTTCGCGCAACGCATGCGATACATATGCACACACTCTAATTCGCCTCTAACCCACAACCGCCAGCAACGCGCGCTCACCGTCTCTAACCATTTTCATGCGCAAAAAAAAACCAATCCCGCAACGCAACATCCTTCACTTCGCTAGGTATTTTCCGCGTGTCATGTAGCGCATATATCGGCAAAAGAAAGAAGACAAGAGACTGCTTCAACACGATCGCAAATTGCGCCACGCTGACTCAATCGCGTCGCCATGCACGCACTCAAACCCTGCATCGCACCATCATCCCCACGACTCCCAAACATGATTATCGTCCACCAACGACAACATGCAGCAAAGCGAGATTCTTCACGCGCAAAACTCAACCAACTTGCATGACCGCAACATCGTTGACCGGAAAAAAAAAAGAGTGCGGGGAGCTCTCGAAAAGGTGCGGGGTAAAAAACAGCACTCTTTGCAAAACATGGAATGACGTAATCAGAGAGGTACCTCGCGCTTGAAGCTTTCCCTCTCGGGAGTACCTCTCCCCGTGTGGGTCGCAGAAGCTCTGACGCCCCAAGCTCAAGTACCTCCTTAGCGCGCGCGAGTGCGCAAAAGCCAAGTCTCCCTCCCAGTGAGAAGCCCGAGCTTTTGCTCTATCGCGCGCACGGCTCGCGACTGCCGCCGCACACTGTGCGACTGTGCGCCCTGTGCACCTGCGTACCTGTGCTTCTGCTCTCTTCCCCCACCTGACAGGGCGGCTAACAGACGTCAGCCACACCATCCAATCCATACGCCCCCCTCCCCGCCCGAGCCGGAACGGGATGCAACGGCGAGAACCGCACGCTAGTGCCAAAAACGGACTAGCTGCACATCCATCTTTCAACGACTTCCGTCCTGCTCTGTCCCCGCTCCGTACCGGAAGATGCAATGTCATCGCACCCGCATACTCACTCTTCACCGTTGTCGCATTCCATCAATCGCATTGCGCAGCATCGCCGCAAACACCAAGGTACATGATCAGTATGTTTTTTTTTCTCTCTTTGGCTTTCGCTACAGAACCGTTGCCACTAACAAAAACAGTCGTATCGTAGCTGCATCTTCTCCTGTTGCCCGCCTCCAAATAGCATCCAGAGAGGAACTAAAGAAACAGAAGCAAGCTCGCTCACGCAGAGAAGCTTCATGTCGCTTGCGCACATATAGGAAAACACAAACCTCCAAGGCATGCGATCCACCTTCCGCCCGGACAATTTGACCATTGCGTGAGCCTCGGAACCGTCTCGCCCGCCATTGTACCCATCCTTGCCTTTTGTTCTCCTCCGCACCTGTAGCCTCCCAATTCCATCTTCGCTTTGCAGTGAAAGCTTGATCTTCCACATCCTAACACTGATCCATTTGCGCTGCGCACGCGCCCACAAGTATCCCAATATACTCGCTTGCTTTTCTGGCCTTCAGCCGCTCCACCACATCGTACAGTTGCACAACTTCGCCAAAACTGTAGCATCCTCGCCACAACTTGAAAGACATGTAGTAGGAAATGAAAAGAACATCGCGCGCAAGCCAGTAAATAAAATAAAGAAACACCGCTTCCCATTGAAAAGAAACCATAAACGCCAAAAGGAGTGTGCGCGACCGGCGTCACCCGGCGATTCTCAATGGTATTCACCAACGAGTCTCTGCCGTGTTGCCGGTGCTGTTGGATGGTCATGGTGACAAACATCCGACAATTGCGACGATGAGAGGCATGTCGTGAGACAATACCGCCTGAGCGCCTCGCCCAATTTCAAACATCTTTGTCGCCAGACGCCGGTAAGCCGGTAAACCTTTGTCGCCGCAAGAGAAATGGTCCAAAAATTTGTGACAATGAGTTGTGAAATAGACTCGCCAATCCTCTTCTGAGTGATGCTGCGCAGGGCTGCGCAGGGCTGCGCTCACTCCATCAGGAGTCGGCCATTCTACCGCTTGCGCTTCTTGTTCTTGTCGGCAACCGCGGCCGTCGTGGCGATTGGCGCAGCTGGGAGGAGAATAGGCTGCGTAGGGTTGACAATGTCTTCCTTCTTAATAGGAACGCCCATGTGTCGGCCATACCTGCCCTTGCGTCCATTGCCCTCGTCTTCGCTGATGCATTGTTCAGCATTGAGGCCGGCGTCACGGCATCGCCCACATGGTCGCTGCCTGTCACAGCCCTTCTTGCTCTTGCGGCATCGCTGGCAGCGGGGCTTGGCAGAAAGATCAAGCTGATCGTCTTCGCCGGGCGCACCTGAGGCAGCAGCAGCAGCAGCAGCAGAGGCAATTGATGGCTTGCGCGAAGGGGGCAGAGAGGCCGGCGACATTGGCCCGTTGCTGGCGGGAGCGGTAGCTGAAATGGATGCCGGGGCTGAAGCCTTCTTGGGCTTAGGAATAGTAGGCCGAGGAACCTTGCTGACCTTGGCCTTGGGCTTGGAGCTGGGCAATTGTGTTTTGGGTTTGGCATCCGGGAGGTTGGTCTTGTTCTTCAGCACCTCGGGCTTGCCCTCGCCGTTGACGACGTGGCTGATAGGCTTCTCGACACGAACGTCTTCAACAGGAGTTTCGATACTGGGCTGGGGAATAAAGTGGCTCTCCGTAGTCTGGTAGATCTTGCGCATGACGCCAGCAGCATCCAATTTCTGGCGCCGAGCGGCTGACTCCTCGTCGCTCTCACTTTCGCCATCACTAGTGGCTCCAGTGGAAGAGGCGGCGTCAGCACGGCCGCTGAAGGTGTCGTCCAGCGTGGACGCAGAGGTGCGGCCATGAGAAATGTTTGACATTTCACCCAGGCGCATAAGCTGAATGGCAACATCCTTATCCTCTTCTGACATGCAGCTGCCAACGGTGGGGTCTGGAGTGGGCAGAATGCCGCTCATGCCGCTGTAGTTGCCGGTTTGTCCAGCGTATCCGATGCTACCGCGACCGTGGCGTTCAGACGACGGCGTCGCATAATATCCACCTTGCGCATATCCATTATTGTGGCTCTGCGGGGAATGCAGGGGCATCGGGTTCGTGAAAGGGTTCTGGCCCGGGTGGACAAATGGCAGAGAGGCTCGCTGAGGCTCGGCGCGGCGGGCAGGAGATACGGACGGATTCGACGTAGCCGCTGGCATCTGAGGAGGCGCAAATAAGGGGAGTTCCTGAATGGAACAGGATGAGTACAAAGGCCCAGACTAACAAGAATAGACAAGAGAAGGATATTGTCCAAGACCCGTGCGGTCAGGCAGACTTACCGAGCTTTCAAATTTGGCCCGCTTGCGACGACCTCCCTCAACAATGTTTTCGAGGCTGATTTCGGTGTTGCCAATCTGCTCCTTCATTCTGCTGGAGCTGGACCCAGGAGCGCCGTCACCGCTGCTGTATCCGTTGACGCTGTCACTGTAAATATCAGCGTGGCCATTGGCGGCGGCAGTGTCCCGGTTCTTGGAAGAGCGGGATCGACCCTTCTTGGAATTTGTATGGGCAGATCCGGAACGCCGGCCGCGTCCGGCATTGGGGGACGGGCTGCGCCTCCGAGAGGTGCTCGATGAAGGCCTAGAGATTTCTTGGCCGAAGCGCGGTGGAGGCTGCAGCGGATACCCGTTGCCCTCGAAATATTGCTGAGCGCTGGGAGGAGGGTTATGATATGTGGGCGGCACAAAGGGGCTAGAAGCAGAGGGGGACTCCTCAATGACTCTGACGTAGACAACCATGTTGTTGCGGAAGTTCTCGTATCGGGCGATGAGGGTTATACCATTTTCGTCCTCGAAACTGACGCCCTTTGAGCCGGTCGGGCCACCGTACAGACCGTAAAAATTCTTGACGGTGGTAACAATGGAGTCGGTCGTGTCATGAGGATATATTTGGACTCGCATGGGGAGTCGCGCCCTGTATTGCGGTGACTCGGTGAAGAGGAGTTCAAATGCGACGTTCTTGGGCGACACCGTCTGCCGGGGCGAGACGCTACCCTGGTTTGAGGTGGCCGCGGAACCGCCGTTGACGACGCTTGTGGGAGACATGCTCGTCATTGTGATTTATGGTATTGATTCGATGGGTTTGAATGGAGGAAGGTCGAGCGAGGGAAGTTTGATGGGAAATGGGGTGGTGTGCGATGAGCGGGTTTCCGTAGAGTTGGCACGGAAAGGTTGGGACTCTGAGCCTGAGTCGGCGGTCGATGGGCGGGACGAAGGTTATCAACGACGAGCAAGCCGAAACTTGAGTCGGATGAGGAACGGAATGAGGTATCAATCCACCGAATTATCAAACATGGACGTTATATCGAGGGTCCTGGGTCGTCGTGCGGTCAGCGCCAGACGGGGCGATCTGACCAAGGACGCTGCCGGAGCGAACGGTCGGAGGACGGTGGTTGAGGAAAGGAGTACGGGGTGGTTTGGAGTCTAGGGCATGGACTGCAAAAGATTAGCCATGGGATGGAGATTGAGGACCGAATGGACGAAATTGACGGTGTGATAGAGTGTTTTGGGAGTGAAGAGAGGAGGAGAAGCAGAAGTATGGTTAAGGTAGGAAGAGGAGTAGTAGGAGAGAAAGAGGAGTGGTTGAGCTGGGACTGGGTCGGGGAGCGCACGGCAAGACGTAGTAGCGAAGAAGCACAGCCAGACCCCAGAGAGAGAGAGAGAGAGAGCGAGCCAGACCCCAGTCCAGACATCAAACCTCTCTCGACATTGAGCCCGGCGGAAGCACAGGAGAGTCGGAACTTGGGGTTTTTGGAGCAGAATGGTGCAAAGGAATAGGAGACATCGATCGCAAAGACTATAGGATCGGTTCAGACTCACTTTAGAAGAATGACAGTGGTGTTGGATGATTGTTACTGCCGGACAATTCGCAGGTTTGTGTGCAATGTGCATGAGAGGGAAAAAGAGGAGCCAAGTCGAGAGGTTGCGATTTTGTGTCTGCGGTCCGTCAGTCACCTCAGTCCAAGTCCAGGTCCCAGTCCAGTCCAGTCCGGTTTCCAGTTTCCCAATTTCCAGGTCTGGTCCCGTCAGGTCAGGTACCGTCCACATCGCCCACCGTCAGTCGAGTACCTGACCGTCTAGTTAAGTTTGTCTCTGCTCCTGGCGGGGATGGGGTGGTTAGGTACCTGACCCCCCTGGGTCTCCCGTACGGCAGTCTACCTCCGCTAACCAACACACAGTACAGCGCATGTGCAATGAGGAAAAGGCACTATAGTTGCAGGTGCAGTCCACTGTCGTGGTGACCGGGGCCCCCCTCAAGTGCCGGCGGTAATTCCCTTGGGTGACAGTGCGCGATGAACTGTGCCGGCTTCGATTCCTCTTCCTTGGCGGGTCATGCCCAAGTGCTTTGGCTTCAGGGCACTCGGTGCTGTAACTTAGGCACGTATCACCCGAAGCTGGCGGGCCTCACAGGGGCCGTGTTCCACTGCGGCTTATGGCCAGGTCCCTAAAGCACTGGATCATCCCCCAACGCATAGTACCTCCTCCCCCTTTCTGGGCAATCGCCAGGCAGGTGGCTAGTTCGCCCCAGAACAAGGCCTTGCCGCACTCGTGGGACCTCACCGCACCTTCAGGCTTGGGCAGAGTGGATGGCAGTGGCACCTGCCTAGGTACCTGCCGGACCCGCTCATCCCGTCTGGCTACCTCTTCTCCTGGGTCACCTCACACACTCCGAACCTGAGCGTGACGAGTGAAAAGGGTACCTCCACGTCGCAGGCGCATTTGCTCTGCGTCTCGACAAGACCCTTGAGCCTATGTTTTTTGAGGTCGATATGATGACTACCATGTATGCGAACACCTTGGAGTCTTTCGTCGGGTTTCCAGGCGGTGCTATGCGGCCAGGGACGACGGCGACGCACCGAGGCCCAAGTCGCTCATGCTTGCGCAACTTGGGAGCCACACGCCGCCGCCGCCGCCGCCGCTGCGCGCACAACGAAGGAGCGACACTGTATCCGTACCTTATGGAAAGGCTTCTCCTTCTTCGCGAGCGGAAGCGGATCCGGACAAGGGCCTAGCAGGCCGTAGACCGGGGGGGCTTGGTGGCATTTTTCTCGCCATCTGGCTCTTCTGTCTCTAACTTGAGTCTACCGGTAATCGATCTACGGATACCTGGCCTGCGAGCAACCGATAAAGCGAGAAGGAGAGAGGTGAGTGAGAGAAAGGGTGCGTGGGACTGTGTGAGTACGAAGTGTGTGTGGTAAGGCGGTCAAAGTCAAGATCTGCTGGGCCGGCTGGTTTGATCCATCAAATCTCGTCAAGTGCCTATTTGCGGATATGATGGCCTCTTCGCCTAGCCGTAATTACCTGGGCCTCCCTTCACCAGTCCTGTTTTCTCTCTCTCTCTCTCACAGTCCTTCTAGAAGCCTCAATCTCTGGCAGGGCATACTTTTGAATCCTGTTCTTTGGGACAGGGGGTAATGGGGTACGGAGTATGGATTCAAGGGACTGGCGTGCTCCATCTCGTTTTGTGCGTCCTTCCCCCCGATTCATTTCGACTCAATTCAATTTACCGATACTTTTTTATGTGAGGGACTAGACGCAGCAAGGCGCAGGTCACATAACAGGGCCAGACGGCGAGCTGTACATATAAATATGAACAAACAATCCTTCTCCGCCTTGTACGGAGTATATCTATATTCATACGAAACGGTGGAAAGGGAGCATGACATATCGCCCCGTACTTTACTCTCAAAAGCCACACATGGAGAGACACTCACTCACTCTCACACATTATTATGCATTCGTTCCGTACCGATGACGAGCAAGCGCTCCTCCTTGTGCAAGGAACATACGTCGCGAGTTGTGTGCCTCGTACTGAATCTGACCTTACCTTACCACACCTCATTACATGGACATACTCTCATCCATTCACCAATAGCAACTTGACCTTCACGCCTCGTGTCGGCGCACCCCAAGACGACCCGAACTTGTTCAGATAAGGTGTGTACACTCACACTCACTCGCACGCACACACACAAACACCCGAGTCACTCTCTCGAAATGCCAGAGAGAAACTGACGGGCCAGTCAAACTGGCTCAAACCGGTCCGTTCTCCGCGAGCAAACAAGACACAGAAACCTTCCCTTTTCCAAGGTCCTTTTTGGCACCTTCAGCGTCTAATTCATACGGTGCCGATCCCTTCACCTTCACCTCACCCAACTATGTCTCTTCCAATTCGCCCAGCCATCCCTGTCCGGTCTTGGGAAGCCTGAGCCATCGAAACCTCGTCAATCCTGGCACACACACACTTCACCCACACTCACACACACCTCGCGGACCTTTAAGGCCCTATCCCTCTCTACTATGCGACTTTGCGACCAGCCTCCTATCGAGTACTGTTGTGACTTGTTGGACCTTGTTTGCGCAAATCAGTAATATTCATCTTCCGGACCTTCGGGGCTGTGCGCAAATTCGTCAGCGACCATGAAGACCTATTCATAATTGATATCGATCGGGGCGCAATGCGCCCGCCATTGTCCGTACGAACTATTTCAACGTGGGATGCGCGCGACATCGGACCCCGATTTCACGACTCGTCTTCCGCAGAGTCCTTCCCGGGCATCTCACAAAATATGAAAGGTTACAGTGCCTGTAGAATCAGATACGTATTTCTCTTCTCCCTCTCTCTTCCCGTGCCGTATCGTAGCGTATCACTATCTCTCCCCCCCTCATATCAAATTCGTCGGTTCAATGGGACAATTCGGCGCTTCGCAACAGGACAAAAAGCGCCATCCCACCCTACCCACAACCAAAACCGGCCCCAGGCCAGGGTTTATCGCATCAGACGGAGGGACTCGATTTGCTACTCGGAATCGCATGGCCAATCTTGGCGCAAAGGAAAGCTGCTCTCGGTATGGTACGGTCTGGTCCAGTTACCGGCGTTTCTCCCTTCTTCAACTGCCTTTTGCAATGCGCTTTGCGACAAATGCGCTCCGTCAACACAATTGAGGACCGCGATGGCCCATTGTCGCGGGGGGATCCAGCTTTCAACCGTTTCCAAGTTAAACCGCCTCAAAGATGCCTAGACCCATGAACCCCGGCCCTTCTGTTGATCTTGGGTCTTTCATTGCTGACCTACTGCCTACCTGGATGGCACACCAACACGTGATGCCATGCTCCAACAAAAAAAAAGGCGCCAAAGAAGCTGCAAGTTCCGGTATGGATGCCGGATGGTGTGTGCGTGTATGTGTGTGTACCAGTGTTTTGGCTCCAATCCATCCGTCCCCAACCATTGAGATCGTTCTCCCATCGTGGTACGGGATACCTCAGCTAAGGAAGAAAAAAAACCCCCCCGGCCCAATGTCTTCCCAATTCCAAAGAGACGGGCAGAGAGAGAGAGACAGAGAGGAGCCAGCCCAAAGCACGGTACCTGCTCTACGGCGCAAAGACCACGAACCCGTCTTAGGCGGATGCCCACTGGCGCCATGATATCCGCGACTAACCAGCGGCGGCAGCTTGTTTGGCGGAGAATGTAGTCTTATTAGGTGAAATGAAAAATACGGCCACTCAAACCCCGGGGCCCCTTCGTCTCTCACGGAGCCGTCTACGAGACTTGCTCCGTCCTGCGATCGTCCCGGGGGTTGGGTATTCCTTTAGACCTTTTGATATCGATGACCGTGAATTTCCAGATCCGATTGCCATCCAGCAGGACTTTGTTAGTCAGCAGCATAGGAACTATTCAATGTCAGATGTACAGTAGACCAAACTGCAGGATCTCAGCAAGGGAACGGGGTTTGCGAGCCACCTTGTCATTGAGCCAATGGCATTGTCGTTCGGACCAGCTCGAGGCGCCACGAGTCTCGCACATCAGGGGACCAAGAGGGACAAGACAAGATAGCGGCCAGAGAAGGATGGTCGTAGCGCGGCTGGCTCATGCACAAGGCAAGGCGGAATGTTGGCTAAGGCGGCTACCAGCATGGCACAGGTAGAGACTCCAGCGCCGGTCTGCTCGGTCTGCACTGGTTTCAACTGTCAACACACTCATTGAATTACAGAGGGTTCGCCCGGCGCATGTTTTGACTATGCGGAGGAGGAGGAGGAGGAGGAGGAGGAGGAGTGAGAGGAGAGTCCTGCTGCTGCAGCACTGTTTGGTTCATCGATAACCCCCCCGTCCTGCTCGTTTCATGGTGTTGTTCGGATGGGTCCCCGTCCAGCAGCATGGGGCCCAGAAAGCAACAACATATAGGTCTGTCCCAGATAGACGGCCAAAGTCTATGTCTGTTCAATGGCGAGGGGCAGACATCCGATAGATAGTACACGGTATCGAGGCCACTTGCTGTCCGGACCTTTCTGCTCTCTGCACAGCATGACCCCAGTGCGCCTTCGCACGGAAGTGATGTGCGCACGAGGATTTTCGCACCTGCGCATACCTATCTATGGCTCTGTTAGTAGGCCAGGAACCAGACATGATGAGATGCTCGATCCGCGAGCTTGATAGATGAGGTGGCTGGGGGGATGGTTTGTAGCGTGAAGCAAGATTGGTTCAGGCCGTCATGTTACGGTTGTATGCGCTGGTCGGGGGTTTCAAGTGTCATGTCGCTGCCGAATCACCATGGAGGTACGAATAGACAACATGAAAAACCAGGCCGAGGAAATGGTCAAGGTCTTGGCCGTCATCCCGAGTTCCCCTCCGCT